TTGTGGTATTCAATTCGACTTTCTGTGTTTCACCAAGCTGATGTAGCGGAGTCTCCCCGACTGCCATGCCTTGACATTTGCAGAGCGTCATCCATATCAGATAGGTTAATTGACTAGCAAATCTTGTTTTACGGTAAAAGCGCTGCAAGGCACAACGCACCTGTTGGGTGGCGAATATGGAAACAAGCGGGAAATACCCGGGTTCCGCGTGAAGACCGGATTCCAGTGTGTACGCCGCTACGGATACGCAAACACCAGATAGATCTCCGTGTCGATCTTTCCTTTCCCTATACCTTACCTACTACCTAAGGTACCTAGGTATCTACACTAGGTAGGTAGGTAGGTAAGTGACTGGACGGGCTGGGACTTCATTACACGTGTATTCCGCGGAGCTCTAAATTTAGTGGGTTTCTCGCTTTTCGCACTGGGGTGCAGCATCCAAACCCTGCGCAGCACTGGACGGACGTATTGGGGTTCTTCGGTGCGAGGTTTCTGGTACTTCAAAACACACAGCAGCTCCACTGGTCTGAAAGTATACCGCTACATGTCGTGCGGATGTTTCTCCCCGTGTCTTCTGCATTCCGTTTCTTTCACTTTCCCATTTCTCCATCTACCGGCCGGCGCCATCCGAAATCAATCTCCACCATTCAAGCCAATGTCTCGAATGAACTTCTGCCGTTGGGGAACACGGCATTCGCCTTCGCCTCCCACGTCCCTGCATCTGCACCCATCAACTTCCATCCGATTTCGCAAATCCCATCCTCGTTTTTGGCTGTAATGCGATTTTTCTCGCGCATGAACCCGGAAAAAACCAGCCGTGGCTGAGCCCCCTCCCCAAGGGTCTCCTTCCACAGTAGCCTCAGCCACGAATGCTGGCAGAGCTGACTTTGCAACGTGTTCCGTTCGTTAGATCAAGTTACTCTCGTTTATGCTTAATCCGTTGTGGCGGCTGTCTCGCTGTCGCATGTCATGCTATAGTTGCTGTCATTCGTAGTTCAACGACAGCGCTCGCAAGGCCGTGTGTAACCGATGATGCGTCTTTCCGCCTCAACGCTTGCATATATATTCGTGGCTGAGCTGTATCCGCATGATACTCAGCATTACCGAGGTGCTGTTGACTATTCCATGTGGCGGGGTGAGCAATCTGGTCATGTGGCTTGTGAGACGTTTGCGCTGCCCTCTTCAGGTTACCTCTCACGAGAAGCTCCTCCTGGCTCCTTAGTCTTCTGCCATGTTGACTCGTCTCACGTGCCATGTCAGAACTGTAGGCATCGGCTGCCCATACCGGACGACAGTTGGCAGCTGGGTCACAGTATTCGAGGCAGCGAGCCTCCGTTGACATGTGGCACATGTGGTGGGACACCGTCCTCCTGCTCCGGCACTGGACCCTCTGACCAGCCCAGATATAGAGAATGTGGCGGCATCGCCATGTCGTGTCGATCGTTGCTCCGGAACAGTCGTTTTTGGTTGAACTGAGGTCCCGCATGCTCGGAACCCTTACGTCCCCGAGTTAGGATATGAACATAAAGGGTATCCATAATCCATAACTAGCCACCTAGACAAGATGACTCTTGGTTGTGTGGAGGAATACTGTGCTCGTTCAGATAATATCGCAGCAGCTTCATTCTTCCTCTGCATGAGGTTTTCTTTCTTATTCCTGACCCCCGGGGTCGGGTATGCCACGTTATCCTGCCAGTGCCCCTGGGCGAGGAACCACAGCGCGAAGAACAGCGGCAATGGTCGAGGCCTGGGGCATTTTAACCATTGTGTTGCCTTCGTTTTGTATGCCACTGAGCGTTTCATGTGATCATGTCATGTGCTCTTCTGTTCCTGGTATTCACGTATGGATATGCTTTCTGTGCGCCACTGGAATTTCTTCCCGAAGTGTCCTCCTGTGCGCACGTATCCTGCCTAGTTCATGCAAGCAGATCTTCCCTATCACTGGTTCTACAGCCCTTTGCCTTCTGGCCCTCAGTTTCTTTTGGGTGTTCACGAGAACAAGAATGAGATGAGCAGATACAGCGGTGTCAGGTCTCTTGGGTTCTCCGCTGCCCTTGGCGTGGCTTTACATACGTCCCGGCTATCATCATAGTGTTCGTTGGCAGTCATGAACGGCGAAGGAAATTCAGGTTGCTTGTCTAGGTTTTTGTTATGGTTGACCCTCCAAGACGCGTTAAAGTTGGAATGCTACTTCATCTGCCATGTATTCTGATCTGGTAAGCTTCTCACATCTCACACACCAGGTGCATTTTGGGGGTCATATCGTCTTATAAGCTGAGGATCATTGTGGTTGCCTCTCTGTTGTTTTGGCTGTTCCATACGTGCGTGGCGGTAGCTATGACGTGTACACACTTTGTCTTATGGCGATAACGACCCATCGGGTGCCCTTATTCTAAAGCGGTGATGCAGAATTGATGGGAGTTCGATTCAGTCTCTTTGCTCCTCTCGACTACTTTGCCCCTCAAACGAAATCATTGTGGCTCATGCCTTAGGCCTGTCTCATAAGAGTCTACGATCTACTCCATGAGTATCCGATACGTCCCAGGTGGATAGTCTTGATAGATTTATATACATTTATTAGTCTTCTTTAACGATGGGCACGTAGGGAGGTCCCCCCTCCCCCGGTCTCCATTCTCAGGTACGGTTTATTGTTGCATTCTCGTCGTCGAATATGGGGTTGTGAATTCTTCACGCCGCATATACATCACCGGAATATGAAGGCATAGTCGCTTATAAGCTATTCTACTTTCATAACCGCCGAGCCGACTTATGACGTGGTGCCGCAGGTGTTCCGACACCATGCATTTCTCAGCGGATAGCTCAACTTCTCAGACATCTAGCCGCTTTGGCTGCACTACGCTTAGTTATGTAGTGGTTTTGAGCTCATTGATATCCGGTCATTCTTCCTCGACTTCGGCACGTTGCGTGCGGGCACGCCCTGTCCGGATAAGCTGCTCGTGTATTCGAAAACATGCCAGATTACATCTTCCCATGGCTATCCAATACATTATGAATTCGATCCTGATTTGATACTTTGGTTTCCTAGGCCTTTTACACGTGCTCTCGATGTCTCGTCGTGGCAGGTTGGTGGCGCCCATGCTTTTGACACCATCCGACGAAGAAAACTGCACGCAACGGTCCGGCGATCGACCACGAGCTACGTGCATGTGCTCCAGTAATACATAAAATGTCTAGGCCGGTCTTAGGGGTCTTGTTGTCCGTTACTGGCTCGGCTCCCTTGATCCTGGTGGGCTGCGTTGTAGGGGGGCGCGGCGACCAGCCTGACTATGCCCACAACCCAATTTTCATCGTTTCGAACGGTCTGGCTCTGTCGATAACCTCATCTGTAGTAGAAAAAAGTCGGCTTCTCTACAAATCCATTCACGCGGCATTGATGTTGCTCTGGGGGCCACAGTGGTCACTGCAACGCGGCCCTTCTGGGAGGAGAGTTGAAGATTTCTATCTTCAAGACGCTCTTCTTTCCTTCCGCGGTGTAGAGGCAAAGGAATGCGACCACTGCGTAAATCACAATATTCCTGGCACTTTACGACATGTTTTCCACACTAGATGACACGTATTGCTGATTGACGATTTTTAAGCTCACTTTTATTACAATCTTTATACATAAACGTCTCGAATCTTGTGGTCCAACGTAGTTTCCACTACCTGCAAATCGAAAAGTACGCCGAACTACTAGATTTTACTATAATCACTCATCAAAAAGGTAGACCCAACCACTGAGCCCTGGGACAAAGTGCTCAAAAGCAATGGCTCAAATGGCAACCCTTTCCACAAGATGCCTGCGCCTGTATTGGATGCAGTCCCCAGGCAAGCCAATATCTGCGGAGATGTGCTCATCGCATGTTGAAAGCGGAAACAAAGAAAACAGCCAGAACATGGTCAGGAGGCGACATTGCGAGATGGACCGACGAGATGGGTGAACGTCAGTCCGGGACGGCACGACCGGAGCGGCGCCGAAGTGGACCCGGGGTAGCAAAGACAGAGAGACCCACTTGCGGCACTGAGCCAGACGGGAACTACCTTACCTTACCTTATCCATTTGAATCCGACGGCTACCGTATTTGAGTGCTGTCTATCACTCAGGGATCAAAGGCGAATCGGCACCCCTTAAGTTGCTAAATAAAGAAGCCAGTCAAATCACCAAGTTAAATATGTTAAAATACGTCAAGTCGGGTTCAAATGGATGAAGGTTGCTGCTGGGTGAGCCCGTTCGACCTACATACGCGGAACATCGGAGCATGACACCCACGGCCTACATAGGCCACTGCATAGCATAGGCAACCACGCCATTGAAAAATAGAGTGGCCTCGCGAAGAACCCTATTACACGCCAAACATAGGGCACCCGGCGGCATACCCAGTAACCGACGAATAGAGCTGGATGATCGAATGGAATTCTGTCGCACTAAAGGGCTTATTTCACCCGCGGTGGGCAGGGTCGGTGCCTCATACGAGGGAGACTCATAAGAGGGGAGAACCACTCAAGGGAATTGTGCATGTATGGATGCCTGTCTTCATCTCTCTTCTATCTGTTGCTCCTTTCGTTCGCAGGATCTCCCGCTAGCTGGATTCGTTAGGCACTATGGCTTGATGACAGCCGCACATCAGTCACCCCCATCATAACACACTTGGACCAGACGCGCCTCACGCAGAGCCCGCGCGACAGACAAGACACGATGGACGCGTTACCCCAGGGTGCCAGCATCACAGAATCACTGACAAGATGCACAGCAAAAGTAGACGTGAATGATCAGAACGTGCCTCGGCGAGGGATCCATTATGTCCCAAACCGATCAAGCTATCCATGTAGAACCCCGTTGTTTCCCGTATGGTACAGTAGAACACCCAAAACCAGCCAAACCCATAGTCATTCGTGACAAAACACTCCACTCCCAAAGTCCGTTTGTGCCACCGCGCGCTGAGGTGGATCGCGTCATGGCCCAAGAAAGATTCGTAACAGACATGCAAGAATAAACACGCTTAACCACCGAAACCGTACAGGGTGCGGCCTTGTCGCTTCAACGCGTAGACAACATCCAGAGAAGTGACCGTCTTGCGCTTGGCGTGCTCGGTGTAGGTGACGGCATCACGGATAACACCCTCGAGGAAGGACTTGAGAACACCACGGGTCTCCTCGTAGATCACTGAAAGAAAGGCATGTCAGTCCGCGGAGCAGAAGCGGCGCAGTTGTGGCGTGCGACTCACTGGCAGAAATACGCTTGACACCACCACGGCGAGCGAGACGACGGATAGCGGGCTTGGTGATACCCTGAATGTTGTCACGAAGAATCTTGCGGTGACGCTTGGCACCGCCCTTGCCGAGGCCCTTGCCGCCCTTGCCGCCTGAAGATGAGACGTCAGCACGATGACTTCAGATGTCCCCAACGCGGGGTGCAGTAGGTAGGATGGTGAAGGGTGAAGGGAAAGTACTTACGTCCGGTCATTGTGTGATTGTGTGGTTGAGGATGTGAAGTAGTAGAGAGGGCTCTTGAAGAGACTTGGTGGAAGTGGTGTGGAAGTGGTTGCGTGGGATAACGTGGGGCTGAGATGTACTGGAACACGTAAAAGACGCGCAGAGGGGGGGACGGGATTTATATCAAGACGGCGTGGGCTAGGTGCGATTCGGGATCAGCCAGAAAAAGCGGGTACGTACCTCGAGTTCCACCTCAGTTTGTGTTTGCGGTTACTCTGACCCTGGCAGGCGACCTGAAAACCAAAAAACCAAAAACAGAAAAAAAAGAGGTCCTGTTTTTTTTTTTGATCAGGGGGCACAGACAAGAAGAACCAATGATTAATTACCTACCTCCAGGCCTCACTCACACTGCCCCTCCCACTCCGCATGCGATGCCCCTGCTGGTTCCTGCTTTTGCTTCCAAGTTGCCTTCCCATTTGTAGCTTTTCGTGAACCGCGTCTGTATTCCATTTTGCCATTGCCCTAAGAACGGTTAGCCGGCTGCATATTGCACATGGTTCAGGCGATGGAGTGACATGGCGGGGCACAGGAGAAAAGGGCACATCAGGTTGATGGCAATCACTGAGGTATTCAGTAACTACCTAACTAAGGTAGTACCTTAGAGGGTTGAGTGACTCACAGGCAGGCAGCCAGCCAGCTTGCAGATGTAAGTTGCCATGTTGGACTTGAATATTGCCAACTTCCAACGTATTAACATTGTGGATTGAAGGGCCACATGAGTGATGACACATACCAGACTGGTGAGAAAAGAGCCTGCTCACGTGCCTAAGTACCTCGGGGGAAAAAACCGACATTCTCTCTATCATGGTGGTCATGGATCTGGAGAACCTGAAGCACCAGCGGTCACCTGGAGCATAGCCCACCCTCCGCCGTAAACCCTCCGTCGCGTCAGTCAGATAAGTGAATAGAACGCGACTTGCTCATGCCACTGTGTCGCGTTTGACGCATACGAGACCTCCGTTGCTAGTTCTTGATTTGTGGTGGAACAATGTGCTTTGAGGCCTTTCTCCGTTATTTTCTGAGTAGACGCTATTTGGCAACATGCATTCGTTCAGATGAACAATCGCATCTATGCCCCCGGAGCAAGTAGGTTGAGGTAAAGGTCGATACAATGCACGCGTCAAGGCCATAAAGGGGGAAAAAGAGAACCTAACCACCTACACCCCACAAAGCTCAAGTCTATTCAAGTCGTGTACAGTTTGCATTCCCAAGCAGGAGCCCGTATGTTCGCGTCAAGATGGACAGTTGCCAGTCGCGTAGAATCTCCGTAGGGCAGTCTCCCGTCAGATCGCGCCTGCCACCCAACCGCGTCGGGTACCAAAAAGCTACGGATACCTAGGACCGGCAGGGCAGGGCCTGGGCAGGGCAGGCCGCAGGGCATCAGGTGCTAGGTTGTCGCATCCCGCAATCCGCATTTCCCACAGACAGGGAAAGGAAGGAGCCACGGAGGAACCTTCGATGGGGAAGGCACCGCTAAAATCGTGGCATGCGTCGGTACGTATCGCACCTGCCGGGTCCTTGGACCGTGGGACGGTGGACCCATCAAGAAAGATGGGGTGGCGTCACAGATATTGCAAGATTTCTAGCCAATCAAAAATCCGTTTTCCACACATCGACAACAAAGCGCCAAAACCTGCCTGTCGCGCCTGCCTTTTTTCAAAGTAATCGCTCCTGCAAAAACGGCATTTTTCGTCCCCCCGCACAGGCCACTTTCCTTTTGGCACTCAATCACTCCCCTCTGCCGCCAGCCCAGCTCCCTTCCTATTTATTTCCCTCCACCCTCCACCTGTCTCCAACCCTTTTCCTCCTCATCCACTCACACCCATCGCTCCCAACCAACAACCATCTCACCTCATCTACAACATCTCAACTACAAACCCATCAACTTCATCATCACCACACAACATCCATCGCAATGGCCCGTACCAAGCAGAGTATGTCCCCGCATTCCGCCATCAATCCCATCGTTTCCATTAGCTAACAGTTCCCTCACAGCCGCCCGTAAGTCCACTGGTGGCAAGGCTCCTCGCAAGCAGCTCGCCTCCAAGGCTGCCCGCAAGAGCGCCCCCTCCACCGGAGGTGTCAAGAAGCCTCACCGCTACAAGCCCGGTACCGTCGCTCTCCGTGAGATCCGTCGTTACCAGAAGTCCACCGAGCTTCTGATCCGCAAGCTCCCCTTCCAGCGTCTCGTAAGCTCGCCTCCCACTTCATGCTGTTTGACCATACCCAGCTAACGCGCATTGCCCTCAGGTTCGTGAGATCGCCCAGGACTTCAAGTCCGACCTCCGCTTCCAGTCTTCGGCCATCGGCGCTCTTCAGGAGTCCGTCGAGTCCTACCTCGTCTCTCTCTTCGAGGACACCAACCTTTGCGCCATCCACGCCAAGCGTGTCACCATCCAGTCCAAGGACATCCAGCTTGCCCGCCGCCTCCGCGGCGAGCGCAACTAAGCTTTGTCTTTTCGATTTTCTCTTTTCATGGGTGGTTCATGACTCGCGCTTTGGGAATGCTTGACGAAGGGACCGTCTTGGCTTTTTGGGGGTAATCTGGCGTTACGAATGCGTTCATACAACGCAATGGTTGTACATTAAACAGCAGCAAAGGATGGCTGCATTGAATGCCGAACACTTCATGATCTACCTATCTCGTGTCTCGTGTGACTCCATCCGCTGGGCCTGCATCGGTGACTTGCTTGATCACGTGTGCCGCCGACGATTAAAGGCACCGCGCCCGTCGTGCAGGGGACCAGGAGTGCTACAGGCCTTGGTTATGTTACTGTTTCCACGACCACTTGGCTTGGATACACGTGTGCGACATTGCGACGACCGCAATACTGACCCGTGCGGTGCTGGAACAGGAACTAAATGCATGCTGTGCCAACTCCGACGTCTAGGTTTCTTGACCTTTTGCCATGCCGTCGCGAAATGGCTCCGACGGTATGAGCCCTTCAACAATCACGGTTCAAGCTTTACTCCCCAGAGTGATGGAAGATCGAGTTACTCTTCAATATTCGAGCTTGTTTGTTCGCGGCTTGCAGGAACGCGTCAGCGACACAGGGGGAGTCACATCAAACACGTAGACCAGGCCGTTACAGCTACTTATTCAGAACCATTTGGTAGTCAGTCTTCTATGCCGTCCCCGTTGAGATGCGACTGCGTCTAGCTAAGTCCGTCCAAAGGCATTTGTTGCGCTGACATCTGCGGAGCGGATGCATCTCACTCTCAGAGGCTGCAGTCTCACGCATTCTTCGCCAGTGCCCAAAAGTTGTCCATCTTCGCCCGCGCCAGCACGTCTTTAGCTTCAGCGTCGGACTCGCACACCTTGCTGCCCCATTTGCGGAACGACCGCGTCTTTTCTTCACCCTCAAAAACCAACTTACATTCGTTCTGTGACATGTCCCTTAACTCCCCCTTCTCGTTCTCAGAGAGTAGCCAGTCTCGTGCCAGTTTCTGCGACCCGCCCTCGCGGGAAGGGGAGTTCTCCGTCCAGTCGATGCGGTTGAGCATCAACTTTTTGTACTTTCCGATGCTGTGCTCGCCACCCTCTACAATGACGAGGTTCATCTTCGGGTGCATGATGCAGACGCCGGTGAGTGAGTGTTGTTCGGCATTCTTCCCAATCTTAAACCTGTGCTGTCCATTCGCAAGGCTGTTGATCTTGAACACCAAAACGTGGATACCCTTGGCTGCGTCCTTTTCCTGATTCGCAGCAAGTTTGTCATGCTTTTCTTCTTTGGTTAGCTTGCGCTCCTCGTTGGCCTCCAAATGCTGCTGCTGCCGCTCGGCAATTTGGCGATTGACGAGGTTCTCCACGGCCGTTGGGTCCTTGACGGCAGAGTCTGCGTAGACACGCATCATGTTGCTCTTCTTGACCTTGGGCGGCGGTGGTGGCAAGAAGCCGAGCCTGATCTTTGCTTGATGTTCCTTCAGCTCGGCCTTTCTCCTTTGTCTTCGGACCTTGGCCTTCTCCTTCGCTGTTGTGTACATGGGCTTTGGAGCGGGCTTGTTTCGCTCTTGAGGCGGCTCCAATGCGACGGGATGCTGGACGTATTCGGTGACAATTGTGTCTTCTGTGTTGATTTTGAGGCGGCTTACGTCGTCGATATTGTCGTAGTTCCCACCATCGACCAACCCTTCATCAAACCATTCAATATCCGGAGGCGCCTCGACCACAAGATTCTTTTCCATGTCTAGTTCTTCCTCGATACCAGCTTTTCTTGTTTGCGCAGCAATCTTCTTCTTCAGTTCCTCTAGTGCGGCCTGCCGCCGCATCGCGTTTCCTTGCTGAATAAACTTCCCCTTTGCGTGGAAGTTCAGGGGTCGTGACTGCCGTTGCCGTCCTCCAGGTGGTTGAGCGGCCTGCTGTTCATTGAAGTATGGATTCGCCTGCGCGTCATCGTGACCACGTCCTGGTGTCGCCGACAATCTGGAGCCAGGCGCCGATATTGAGCTCGAATCGAACTGGGATCGAAATGAAGGGGCGCTGGGCCGGCTCGAGGAGGTGTTTTGACCAAGGCCTTGGAGCGCAGGATGCAGTCCAGTTTCGGCGCCTCCATTCGCTTTGCTGCCTCCAATCGCCGCAGCTACTCTTGCTTTCAGTGCAGCCATCTTGTCTGCAGTCGATTCGGTCTTGTGAACGCGGGAGCTGGGGTCGTGACGGGGCCCCAGCCCATTGGAATCTGAGCGTCGGTCTCGATCCATGGTCTAGTGTGAAAAGTTCGTTTGGTGAGGCACCGCGAGGATGGGGCAGGCTTCGTCGGCGTCGAGGGATAGAGGCTGCGCGTGTCCAAATCGTCGGAGTTTGCTGTCTCTCACACTCCGAGAACGGCCCGAAGTGACAGAATGATTCTTGGACGCTTGACTTGGACGTGGACAATCGATCTTGGTGGTTGCACCTCCGAAAAAAAAAGGTCTTTCAACGGCAGAATGTAGGTGCCGTCTTGGTAGACGGCTTTGGGCAGGTGTCTGTCTGCCTTACGTACTTCACCCAAGGTACCTAGGTAGGTATTCGTACGAAGTCAGGTCCGTTTCGCCGTGGGACACTGGGACCTAAGGTAGGTAGGTACACAGAACTGCAAAAGCTCCACCACAGCGGGTCCATTTTTCTGCCACTAGCCACCGCTAAAAAAAAAGTTCCCCCCTCTGCCTCTGTCGCCCACCGATCCGTCCCACCGGCCTTGTTGATTTTGCGACTGAATGCTTTCTGGACTTTGTCAGGTATTGGGCAGGACGCTGGATGGAAAATTTGTTTCTCTCCGCCTCGCCTTCTGCTGTACGGACTCGGATTGGTGTCAGGCTAGTTCGTGAAGCCTCACCGGCACCATGAATATCTCACAACCCATCTCGTCGTCTGTAGAGACGGTCGAGTTCACATTCCTCACCGAAGAGGAAATCAGAGCAATCTCTGTCAAGCGCGTCGAAAACGACAGCACCTTCGATAACCTCCTCAATCCCGTTCCAGGTGGTCTCTATGACCCTGCCCTTGGCTCCTGGGGCGATGCTCTGTATGTCTCCTGGCTTCTTTCAAAATTTTCCCGCTTCGCTTGACTTACACATCCCATCACAGTTGCGCAACGTGCAACCTGAACCAGTCTTCCTGCCCCGGCCACGCCGGCCACATCGAGCTTCCCGTGCCCGTATACCACCCAATTTTCCTCGACCAGGTCCTCCGCCTTCTTAGGTCGCAATGTGTGTACTGTAAAGGTTTCCGCATGCGCCACCGCGAAATCAACCGTTACTCCTGCAAGCTCCGACTGCTGCAGCACGGTCTTCTACACGATGCTCATTTGGTCGACGCCATCGGCGAGGACCTCAAAGGTCTTGCAATGCCCGGAGTCCCTACCGACTACGACAGCGAGGCCGAAGAAGAGGGCACGTCCACTGTCGATAATGTTATTGGCGCGCGCGAAGCATTTGTCCGCCAGAAGCTCAAGTCACACAAGCTCAGCATCGGCGAGGTCAAGAAGGGCAAGCATGAAGGCTCGCTTGAGATGAGGCGGGAGCTTATCAAGGACTTCATGACACAGATTACCAAGCCCAAGAAGTGCGACAACTGTGGCGGCGTCTCACCTGCGTATCGGAAGGACCGCTTTGTCAAGATCTTTGAGAAGGCCCTCAGCGAGAAGGATCTCGCCCAGATGGCCCAGAGAAATCTGCACATCAAGGACTCGATGGCGACCGCAAAGCGCGTCTCCAAGTCGAAGTCAAAGTACGGAAACGCCGACGAAGGTGTTGCAGATGTTGACATGGCTTCGTCTGAAGAAAACGACATTGAAATGCGAGATGCCAGCAGCGGCGACGAGCAAGAGCCTATGGACAAGGAGGATGAGGTCCGCTTGGATGCCGTCACCACTGCCCCAGGACAACAACGATACATCAGTGCGATGGAAGTTCGGGCTCGTATGCGAGAGCTGTTCGACAAAGAGCAGGAGATTATGTCTTTGATTTACAACTCGAAACCGATGACCAAGAAGGCAGCAAAGGTGTCTGCTGACATGTTCTTCCTTCGAACCATCCTTGTCCCACCGAACAAGTTCCGCCCTGAAGCTCGCACTGGCGACTCTCAAATCTCCGAAGCCCAGCAGAACTCTCTGTATAAGATGATCCTGCGAAATTGCGGCAACATTGCGAGAATGCACCAGAATGTAGGCGGTACGGATCAATACGGCAGAGCAAGAGACATCAGCGATCTGCATCAGATCTGGACGGAGTTGCAAGAGTCTGTCAACTCTTTGATCGACAAGAGCAAGAACCCCGTGCAAGGCGCAGCTGCCAAGAGAAACGAGGACGGTATTAAGCAAAAGCTGGAAAAGAAGGAGGGTCTCTTCCGAAAAAACATGATGGGCAAGCGTGTCAACTTTGCGGCTCGAAGTGTCATCTCCCCTGATCCCAATATCGAAACCAACGAGATTGGTGTCCCCCCCGTCTTTGCTCGGAAGCTCACCTACCCTGAGCCGGTCACGAGCCATAACTTCAGAGACATGCAGCAAGCCGTCATCAACGGTGTCGATAAGTGGCCCGGTGCGGCGGCTATCGAATACGAGAACGGGCAGATCGTCAATCTGCGGTCTAAGTCTTCCGATGATCGTGTATCCCTCGCCAACCAGCTTCTCGCACCCACCAACAATCAGATGAGCGGCATGAAGAGCAAGAAGGTTTACCGTCACCTGACAAACGGTGACGTGGTCCTGATGAACCGCCAGCCAACCCTGCACAAGCCCTCTATCATGGGTCATCGTGTACGTGTGCTGCCTGGAGAAAAGACGATTCGCATGCACTACGCCAACTGCAACACCTACAACGCCGACTTCGACGGAGACGAGATGAACATGCATTTCCCTCAAAACGAGGTCGCCAGAGCCGAGGCCCTACAGATTGCGGACACAGACCATCAATACCTGTCAGGAACGGCAGGCAAGCCCCTTCGTGGTTTGATTCAGGACCATTTGTCAGTTTCCGTGGCGCTTTGTAACAAGGACACTTTCTTCGATCGTGATGCGTACCAGCAACTCATCTACTCGGCCCTGCGCCCGGAGAGCGGTCATATTCTCGGCGAACGAATTGAGCTCATTCCTCCCGCCGTCATCAAGCCAATTCCCAGATGGACCGGCAAACAAGTTGTCACCACCATCCTGAAGAACATCAAGCCGCCAAATGGCGAAGGACTTTGGATGACGGGCAAGAGTCAAGTCAAGGGCGCGCAGTGGGCTAAGGACTCTGAGGAGGGCGATGTCCTGTTCCAGGACGGGCAGTTTCTTTCTGGCATCCTCGACAAGGCCCAGCTCGGTCCCAGCTCAGGTGGTCTGATCCATGCCATTCACGAAATTTATGGACCCGCGGTAGCAGGCAAGCTGCTCAGTGGTATGGGTCGACTTCTCACAAGATACTTGAACATGCGAGCATTTACTTGCGGTATGGATGATCTCAGACTTACGCCCCAAGGCGAGGTATCTCGCAGGGAAAAGCTGAAGGAAGCCAAGACTATCGGTCTTCAAGTTGCAGCCAAGTACGTGTCGCTGGAGGACAAGACCCCCAACAGCACGGATTCGGAGCTTCTTGCCCGCTTGGAGGAGGTCATGCGCGACGATACCAAGCAGGAAGGTCTCGATATGCTCATGAACCACCGCGCCGGACAGGTCTCGAGCGCAGTTACAGCTGCATGCTTGCCGATTGGCTTGGTCAAGCAATTCCCCAAAAACCAAATGCAGGCCATGACTACATCTGGTGCCAAAGGTAGTCAAGTCAACGCCAACCTCATCTCGTGCAACTTGGGACAGCAAGTTCTTGAGGGTAGGAGAGTTCCTCTTATGGTCAGCGGAAAGTCCTTGCCCTGCTTCCGGCCCTTCGAGACAGACGTCCGCGCTGGTGGCTACATTGTTCAGCGTTTCTTGACTGGAATCCGACCCCAGGAATATTACTTCCATCACATGGCCGGTCGTGAAGGTCTGATTGATACCGCTGTCAAGACGTCTCGCTCCGGTTACCTTCAGAGATGTATCATCAAGGGCATGGAGGGCTTGACGGTGTCGTATGACTCCACAGTTCGCGACGCAGACGGCACCTTGGTGCAGTTCCTGTACGGCGAGGACGGACTGGATCCTACGAAGCAGAAGTACCTCACCGACTTCGGCTTCGTTCTCCGCAACATCGGCTCCGAAACTGCCCAACTCAGCTTCGGTAACGAGTTCAAGGACAAGTTCGCCGGGAACAAGGACGACATTATCAAGCACATGAAGAGCGCCATCAAGCACTCCAAGGTCGATATCGCCGCCAAGGACCCCATCATCTCTCTCGTCAATCCGGCAAGAGTGGCTTTCGCCACGTCTGAAAAGTTTTATGAGAAGATGGCAAAATACGTCAAGGAGAACAAGGATGGCCTCATCAAAGACAAGTCCAAGGAGTCATCTGGTTTAATCAACGCCCCCGCCGTGAACAAGAGATCTGCAGAGCTTGTCCTCGCGGCCAAGTACATGCGGTCGCTGGTCGAGGCTGGCGAAGCTGTCGGTATTGTGGCTGGCCAGAGTATTGGTGAACCGTCAACACAGATGACGCTGAATACCTTCCATTTGGCTGGTCACTCGGCTAAGAACGTCACGCTGGGCATTCCTCGTCTCCGTGAAATTCTCATGACGGCCAGTCGATCCATCTCTACGCCGGCCATGACTCTTCTCCTGCACGAGGAGCTCTCTGCCGCCGAGGGAGAAATCTTTGCTAAGTCAATCAGCGTCCTACCCTTGGCCGACGTGCTCGACACGGCCAAGGTCAACGAACGCATTGGTAAAGGCAATAACGGTGCTTTGGCCAAGCTCTACGATGTGCGACTGAACTTCTTCCCCGCTGCAGAGTACACCAAGACGTATGCCATCGACACTTCCGACGTTATGGATGCAGTGGAGAAAAGGTTCCTCGAGCATCTACTGAAGGCCATGAATAAGGAAATCAAGAAGCGCCGCAGTGAAACCAGCTCAGCGACACCGGAGGTCGGAACCAGATCTGGCGTCGTGGAAATGGTATCAGGTAACGGAGAGACGCGATCTGGTGGAGATGATAACGACGATGACGATGACGACGGCGACGGTGACGCGACAAATGCCAAGAACAAGTCGAATCGGGAAGAGGCTGTTTCATACGGCCCCAACGATGATGAGGATGACGCCGTCCAGCGACAGATGGACCGTGAGGGGTCCCCAGAAGATGAGGGCTTCGGTGGTAGCCCGCCGCCAGGAACCAGGAACGACGGCTCGGGTGACGAGGAAGAGGATGATGACGATTCGGACAGCGAGGGCAGTTTCAGAGCCGAGCGTGTGAAGCAAAAGTACCTTCGAGTCACAAAGTTCCGCAGCGACGACGCGGGCGAATGGTGCGAGTTCACGCTCGAGTTCGAGGCAGACACCCCCAAGGTATTGATGCTCAATATCGTGCAAGCGGCGGTCAAGAAGTCAGTGGTCCAGCAGATCCCCGGCGTCGGTTCATGTACGTTCACGGACGCCCACAAGGTGACGGACCCCGCAACGGGCAAAGAAGTCTCGGTGCCGGCAATCTACACGTCGGGAGCCAACCTCAGGGCGATGCAAAAGTACGGCGACTTCATCAACCCGAACAAGATTGGAACCAACGATATTGCGGCCGTCCTGGATGTGTATGGTGTCGAGGCGTGCCGAAGCAACATCGTCTCCGAGCTGGCTGGGGTTTTCGGAGGTCACGGTATCAGTGTCGACAACAGACACTTGAATCTCATTGCCGATTACATGACCCGCAATGGCGACTTCACGCCCTTCAATCGTAACGGGCTGCGCGGCAACGTCAGCCCCTTCACCAAGATGAGTTTCGAGACCACACTCTCCTTCTTGAAAGACGCCGTTCTCGACGGTGACTGGGATGATCTCAGAACGCCAAGCAGTCGCATCGTCATGGGTCGCCTGGGCAGGATTGGTACGGGTGCGTTCGATGTCTTGACGGCTTTGCCAACGCACCATATGTCATCCCACATGGACTAGATACCCAGCTGCTCGTGCCTGTATTGTTTCGTGTCATTCTTAGGCGAGAGGGGGGGCTGCTAGGAAATGTTCTTAGCCGATAATTGTATTTTTTTGTATGGGATTGATAGAGAGGCAATGTGGCTTGAAAAGTAATGCAGACGATTTCCTCAGAACAAGAAGAGTCGCGACCTCGCGTGCCGTGAACAGCCATCATGTCAGCAGTCGTTCTTCCGTGAGCTTTCGTGCCTAAGACTCTGGCCCCTCCACATCCCACGACGTGCGTCTATTCTCGAGTCTCGGCCACGGCATAGGCAAAGCTGCCGAGGATCTTTTGGGCGGACAGGAGAGTCTTGGACGCCCGAATCATTGTTGATCATTACCAAACGCACGCGCGGGGTGCGTGGTTCGGCGTGCCCGGCGGATGCAGAGACGGGCGGCTGTAGCCCGGCGCCGATCATCAGGGCCGCGGACCGCCAAGTGAGTGGCCAAAGGGAGGGGTGGGGGGGGATATTGCAACAATAGATGACGCATCTGCAGCCTTTCCGATGGGAAGGTTACATGGCGGGCAGACGTACTCAACCCGGCATATCGGTGCAGTGCATGCAGCTGCGCCCCAGCCCTACCAGGCAGCGTGGCCGAGAGACATTCGAAGATAGGACGGGTGGGTGTTCGCCAAAGGCGGGGGGGGGGGGGGGACGTGACTTCGTTGACACGCCCGGCGTGAAGGGGCGCGGGTGCGCCAATAAGGTGGAGATGCTTCTGAGCCGGCCAACCGTAGCAACCTTGGAAATCTACGCCGAGTTGCCACGATCAAAAGATGCCAAGAAATATCAATGGCGAAAAGAGTGCGACGCTGCCGCGTTTGGGAGCAATAGACGGACGGATACGATGCCATGTCGAGGGCTGTGATGCCCGAGGATGCACCGAAGGAGGGAGAGACAGTGCCCGTCCGTCAGATATTTATGACAGGATGCAGGTGAAGCGGGGATGATTCTACGTCGTGTTATTGTACGTCGAGGTTTCGATCCCCCCCGTATGCCTTGATTATCAGCGATGCTTAGGGGACGGGGGCGCCTCCCGTCGTCTCGGGGATCATCCAGATCGATAATTACCGATCAGCCCATCTCAACACCCAACCAAGGTAGTAGGTATGTATCCTGACCGCTGTAAGTGGTGATTCGTCTGGAGATGCACGTCCAAATGGGTTGCAGAGTCGCAGCGAAGGAAGCGGGCAGCAACCGTACCTCGGGTTGGAAAGATAATTTTAGACGTGCAACAACCAAGGTAGTTGCTACAATCATTAGCTACAAGGCAAGGCAAGGCAAGGCAAGCAAGCAAGCCTAAGCCCTACAACTTCACAAAAAGAACCTGCACAAGTCATCCAATACCTACCAATACATCCATCACATCAGGTGTTGCGCCCGTCCGCCCGCCCTGCTAACCGACTCGGGCAATTTGTTGGCTTCAAACCAATGAAAAACCAAGACTCGTTGCTCTCAGCTGTGAGATGGAGCAATCAACAAGCAACCTAAGCACAAGCGCCGGACGACAAGGTCTGAAGACTCTGACAGAGACAGCCAATTACATTTCAATTACAACCTATTCAACGTTGGACACAACACTCGCTACCATGACTCGGACCGGGATTCAATGATGCCTGCCTCCTCAGCTTGTTGAAAATCTCATCTGTTGACAACACGGGGTTGAGGTTCTGGTCTGTCTGTCGCAATGCCCGTCGTGTCGGGTGCCTCATTCCTGTGCCATTGACGTATTGACGACTTACTTGCCAGATCAAGGCAACTCGTCAGAATGATTCGGCCGGTCGGTCGCTTGCCGGTCTAAGTAGGTATGCAAAGTACTTATCACCGGGGCGGGAGACATGAAGGTCTTAGTGCACTTGTTGGTGCAGCGTCGCATTGCACCCGGCTACCACACCCCACGGGGCGGGGGGCAAAAGCGGCAAATAAAAAAAAAAAAAAAAAAAAAAAAGACTCGAACCACTGGACTCTGCTTGTTGTTGGCTCGCTCGGTTTTTGGCCCTCGTAGAGGCCCACCCAGCGCCCAGGCCAGCACGGGTACCTTGGCAATCCTGGAAGTTCTGTACATATCCATTCTCACTTGCAGTACCCGTTGCCTTTACGAGGTAGGTAGCGCCTCGTCCATGAAGCCCACGGCGCTTCAAATCCGTGAACCGGCCTACCTACCTACCTACCTGCCTACCTACGCTGTCACCGCCTCTGGTGGACTGACTGCATGAGCTCTCTCTACCTTCCTTACCTACCTTACCTACGATCCCACATGTCTTGTCAAGTGCTTCCAGCCGAGCGACTTCTGACTTCCTTCGTTCACACAATGTTGACGCATCCGCTACAACGATGCGAAGCCGCGGACATAAGACGCAGGTCAGCGTCGTGACACTGCAACCTGCCTGGCGCTTGCCGTGCCAATCGCTTCCCTGCTTGCCTTACCGTCTGACCTACCTTTCTTTACCTTCCTTCAGGTACCTTACCAACTTCATACCTAGTAACAATCGATTTGCTGGTATTCGAATTGTGTTGGTAGCCCTATCAGATCGTTGCGTTATGTGTTAATATGTGTCTGCGGGCTGCAGGTGTAGGTTGCCTTACGCCTCTTATCCCGCAATTTGCGAACTGAGCCAAGTCAGCCTTCCGAGCGGGTTGTCGTAGTTGTGATTCACTCTCCCGAGTGGCCTCCCTTCGCTTCATCATCCTTCGGATCCTGATTGGTTTTGTCGGCGTGAAGCTTCCGGAAAGCACGTGATACAGTATTGCAGGCATGAAACTCGTGTCTTGGTATTCGGACTCAGCCGATTGCATTCCGCCATCGAGCGTCATCCGGGGTCGCATCTCAATGCTCCAACGCCAACAGCAAGGTATCTACTAGAGAAACATGCGCGAAAACAAAATAATCATAGAAACGGTGCCGCGCCGCGCCGTCATACCGAACCCGCCCCAACCTTTCCTCCCTACCTGCCCAGGTAGTTAATAATACAAACATGGGGTCGGTATAGATCATACCCCGTCATGTGCAGAATGTCCCGCGTCTCTGGCAGCCACCTTGGCTTTTCCCATTACCGTGGCCAGTGGTCGCTTTGTGCACCTTCACTCGTGCCCGACATGACGCTCCTGCTCCTGCTCACCGAGGTCGCCGGGTGCAATAAACCGCTGCCACTCCCCATAGGCATCGTGATCGGCGGTAGTGTACCGTGTCCCATGGGATGCATAGGTCCTCCCATGTTGCGGTTGAGAGCACCCATTCCCTCGTAACCATCGACGCGCAGGTCACAGGTGCCGACGTCAAAACGCTTGGAGCACCCGTCACCCATGTGCCTGGAAAACAATGTCAGCCCGGGTTCTCTTGTCGTCTGCCCACCCGGACTTACCTTCTCAGTGTGTCTTTGCGAGCAAATAGACGGCCGCAGTAGTCACATTTGTGGTTGCGCTCCTTCATGTGCACGCTCTGGTTGTGTCTCTGGAGGTCCGTCTTTCGTACAAACTTCTTGTTGCAGTCCGTAACTGGGCAAGGGAAAGGATATTCCCTCTTCTCGTCGTGCGTCTCCATGTGCGCCTTGTAGTTGTAACTGCGACTGAATAGCTTGCCACAGCCCTTGATTTCGCATTGGTAGTTGGCGTCTTCGGCGGTCGTCATCTTGCGCTGTGCCTTCTTCGGCCGATTCTGCTTCAAGTAGTCACCGCGTTTCGAGCCGTGGCCGGAAGAGCCCGCGTCTCCCAACGGGGAGTGATTGTAGTAACTTTCAGCGTCCAGCTCGGATTTGGACCACGCCGGAGAATGAGGGTCGGGTAGATAGTTTTGATGCGAACTTGGGTACTGGCTGGGCTCTGCGAGGTATGGCGCCTGCATCGAGCGTGGCGAGGGGTACTGGGAGACGTCGATTCCCGAGCCATAGTCGCCGGGGTTTTCCACCTTGATCCGGGGGCCCAGGTGTCCCGCAGAAGGACCGCCTGTGACGTACGAAAAGGAGCTCCTCGACGATGACGGCGCGGGTGAACGCCCGGAGGCATCTGCGAGTGGATGCGGCTGGCCTCCGACTGAAGACGAGTGCATGGGCGGCGGTGGCGGGTATGCCTCTGATCCGTAAGATGGCATGGGAGGGTCGTACTCGGCGAATGGGTCGTACTCTGATGACAGGACGTTCGGAATAGACAATGAAGAAGACGATGGCGCCATTTCGTTGGCAGACACCCAGCCTGTAGTTGCTGCGGAATCTAGAGGCGGCAAAGAAGAATCGGCATCGGCATCGGCAGCCTCACCAAGAGAGCACAGCTGACCGGCGGCGTACAGAGAAGCAAGCTTGTACTGCTGGGTTGCGAGATCCGGGGAAGGATAATCCAGAGACGACCTTTCCGAAGGGCAATAGGTGTGAGTTGGAGACGCCGGCGACCTTGTCAATGATGGTGGTGTTAGGTCCATGACTGGCGTGGCCACAGCCCTTTTTGTTGGTCTTCCTTTATTCCCTATTCTCCCCCCGGACTCTGTGTTGGACGCAAAAGTTCGCTTTATATGCCAACAGGGCGTTGGAACAAGACGCAATCAGGCCGTGAGGGGGGTGGAGGGTGCCCTGTTGGGACTCGTTGGAGGGATGCGTGTGAGTGGGAGGAGTGTGTGGATAAGATACCTAGATCAGGGACTGCGTATCTGATTGGCAACCTTGCCCAGGAAGGCTGAAAGAGCAGGACGTAAGATGGGGAACGGGATACTTATAAAGATTGCTTCCAGAAATGGTGAGAGGGGCAACACAAGGCAGCAGAGGCAGAGGCAGAGGCAGAGGCAGATGGCAAGGGGGGCTAGCTGGAGCTGTACCTCACTTTACCCTATGGTGGAATATAAAGACGAAGCAAAAGGGCAAGGCACCTCAGGGAGTGTGTGAGTGAAGCTAGGTAAAGTATACGGAAGACGGGAAGACAGGCCCTGTTTGCCTAGATCCAATTTGAGTGGATAAGGTGACTGGCTACCTTAAGACGATGACTTGGATCGTCGCTTGCCGGGTTTATGGACGGAGCGGGAGAAGAAGGCAGACCGAGTGAGTATACGTGCTGCATTGTCCGAGGCAGACTCGAGTAATTCTTATACAACCCCGAGTAGACAGGTGCCTGTCTATTTCCGACTGATGATGCTCGCGCAAGTGCAGTCGTATGCGTAGTGAGATTGTACGTAGGTTGTTAAGTTTAGCACGGCTAAGATTTGAGGCACCAGGCAGTGTCTGTACTGGCGACTGGATATCCGGGGGCGATGGGCACGAGATGCACGTCTGTATGCCAGACGGGAGAGGGGGAGGGAGAGGAGGGAGAGGGAGAGGGAATGCAAGCGAAAGCAACGTCCGGGTGGAGACGCCAAATCAGAATATTGATAGAAACAAGCAACACATGGTAAGAATGAGAGGCAGGCAAATGTGACTGAGAGCAAAAACATGGGTGAAGGGCGGATGCGGTTGGCGACCAGCACCGCACCAGCAGCGTACCGGTATCCGTACTCTGGACTCTGGACGAATACAGATGGCGCGGTGGAGTTGGACACTTGCTTCGAAGGCCCAAGGGGAGAGCGAAGCGTCAGGTTGGTACCATGCGTGTCTATCCTGCTGGAGCTGTTTGTGGTGGTTGGACCGTCCCGTGAAGGATTCAACCAGCCCAGGATGGGTGACATTGGGGGCCGCGCGAGACGTGGAGGAGGAGGCAGGTGGAGGAGGAGACAGGCAGAGAAGAGGAGGGTGGGGGGTGTGTGAGAGAGAAAGGCGGAAAAGGACAGAATAATGCTCAAGGAACCAACATGGAACCGACACTCGAGGGTCCTTCGTGATTAGGTAGGTAGCGGATGGTATTTTTCGCGTCAGACGCTGCTTCACGGTCCATCCAGTGCATCGCATTCCACTCAATGTATAGACTCGAGAGGCTGTCGAGTGAGAGACGGTTGTGTTGTAGTTGACAAGAGCAAAAACGCAAGGAGACGGACAAGCAGCCGGCTCTCTCTCTCTCTCTCTCTCTCTCTCTCTCTCTCTCTCTCTCTCTCTTTTGTGTTGCGTTGCGTTGCGGTCGGTCACCCACCCCCTGGCTCTGGAGTCTGGCCGGGCGTGTTGTTGGTGGTGGCTCTAACCAAGTTTGGAGAGTGCAAAAACAGCTCGTGGTACGATAAATGCTTGCACCAACGCAACCGAAGCACATTTCACTGTTGGTTCCGTACAAGATGAGTGGACAGTCCAACAACTTGGGAATAAAAGAGGGCCTTGCCTAGAGACTAGACTAGGATAGTGAGCATATTCGCACACACGCCGCACCTCAGTCAGTAAGGCCCTGGCTCAGGGCTGTGAGTGTGACTCTCTGGACTCTGGAGTCTGAGTGTGCCCTTGGCCGGTGACCGGCATCATGTATGTATGCCAGGGGTCGTCGAGTAAGCATCTCGGGGTCGAGAGACTGGCTGATATGGGAGAGGAAGAACAAGTCGCAAGCAACGGAGGCCCGCGGGACAGAGTGGCGGGGTTGGGGATGCATGGAGGGACATTGGATGATGCTGTAATTACTAAAAGGTAAGGTAGGAGGTAGGTAGGTAGGTAGGCGGGAAATGCGACAATGACAGCAGACGAGAACAATGGAATGACAGAGCTCTGACTGTACCTTTGCAGGTACCTCAGGTAGGTGGGGATGCAGGTAACGACGGGAGTAGGAAGGGAAAGGACGAGTCAACGAGCCAGAAGGAGAGTACCTTAGAACGTGGAAGAAGGGAAGAAAAGACGGCGAAGGGTAAGAAAAAAAAAAACCATCAAGAAAAAACAACAGGTCAACTTCTGTTGGTAGTTGGAATAACGACAGCCAACCGTTTAATTAAGAATCGCCGGGGAGAGCCACCGGCACCCAGACCAAGACCGCGACCCAGAGTCCCAGACCGGACAATGGCCGTGCTTTAGTGGGGAAATATCGATCGATTGAGCCACATCGGCCGCGAGGCGTCCAATGGAAACACTGAAAGGGGACCCATTCCACTTCGCAGCAATACCATCGGTGAAGGTACGTTCTGCTTACCTTGAGGTACCTGTCCTCCCTCCATGGCTGAAAGATAGGTACGTACCTGTTGCCATCCTTGAGGTGCCTGTGCCTAAGATACCTAGGTAGGGATACCTACCTACGATACCTCAACACAGCGACGAGAGCGGCGCTGAATTGCTGAAATGACAGCGGGCACATTACCTACCTAAAAAACCTAGCGTCCCGTCTCTGAAGTCTGTATCAACCCTCCACTGTCAGACGAATACCCACCTTACCTTAAGTTGCCGCAACTATGTAAGATAAGGTAGGTATGCTCGGCGTCGGATACCGCTTGGGCACCTTGGTAGGGCACTCCTCCCCGCCCCGGCAGGAATTGGGAGCCGTTGCGCTCACCCGTCGGCCGTTTCTTAGCGTTCCATTGGCATTGGAGTTTGTGTTGGTGTTGAGATATGTGGCATCGCCGTCTGTCAGCACCAACGTAACTATGGATTCCCTCGCCTGTTCTCGAGGTACCTAGGTAGCTACACGGTACGAAAACTGAAGTAAGGTAGCTGTGTAGGCATACCTTACGCACACGGAAGTGCCAAATGTCACTGGGCGTTCCGGCCGTTGCGACTCAGGGCCGCCTCGTGGCGGGCCGCTATTTTAAGCTCTGAACTACCTACCTTACCTCAACGTAAAGGTAAGGTACTCCGCGGAGCACCGTACATGGAGCAGAACGAATCCGAGTTTTCAATGCTTCCATTGACCATGGAATGTGTCCATATGACTTGAACGACTCAACTTGTAAAGGATGGAAAACAGCTAGAAAACTTGAGCTTGTCTGGGAAAGGCGAAAGTCACTGGACCTCGTAGTAGAACTCGCTTCGCCATTTGCCTACCTTACAGGTGCCTACCTAGTTAGGTAGAGCACCTGCAGTCATCTGTTACCTGCTTAGGTACTCATCGTAAATTTCATCCCTCTCTATCCCATCCCATTGCCCACCAACCACTTCCCCGCGCTCTTCTTGCACGCCGTCAACTTCATGTTGCCCATGGCCATGGCATGGGATGCTCCCGTCGCGACAAACGGTGTTGGCAAGCACCCGAATCGCCGGGCAAAATGTGGGGTCTGTTTTGCTCTTCCTCCTCCTCGCCGCTCGTGACCGAGGAAGACGAATGACCAAACTTGGTCTCATTCCTGTCTTTGGGACTGCTCATGAAACGTGGTACCCATCTGGCCTCAGCCTCACGACGCCATCGCGTCTCGAGTGCCGGAGTTGGTATACTTCCCTGCAGAGTAAGCAATAGACATGCGGATACGATACACTCTTGCCTGGCCAGTCCTCATTGCCAGGGGCCCGATGTTGATGTTGCGTGCCGTAAGGTATGTTGGGTAGTCTTGCTCTGACCCATCCGTATCCGTACGTACACTGGCTGGCCACCTTGACACTTTTCATGTCCGGAAGGATCAAGAAGAGCCGGCTTGACCAGCAGTGGATGACTATTTTCGGACCCAGCCAGCTGCAAGCCGGGGAGAAGCGCCGTCCGAGTTGCTTGAGAAAGGTAGATTCCGTGTCGTCATGATCGTATGGGGCGACCTTCCCACAATTGTGAAGACTTCCTGATCGAGGTCCTTGGGGGAGTCGCCGCATGATAGCGGCACAGCGAACGCGGTTCCTGGTGACAGGAAGGCCCACGGGCCCGGGCCAGGGCCCGGGCCAGGATACCTTACAGCATCAAATTTCTCTCCACCTTTCCTTCGCCGTCCTCTCTTCATCGCGGCCATCCGGACGAACCTCTGCCTGCAACACGGCCATCATAAAACAAATAAGAGCGTCGCCGGCATCAGGACCCGTTCAACTGATGGAAACTTCGTTTGCAGACCCAGCATTATCCCCGATGCGTCTGGACTGGCCTCCTTCTCCCATCAACAGTCGCCAATGCGTCGGTCTAGAAGCAGGACGGTCTTGCTGGGGCTTCGGACTACGAGGTGGGCTTATCCTCGAACTCAGCCTGGCCGAGAGACCCTTACTGCGAAGCTGCAACGTACCTTGGTCTTAGTGGAAGACAAGCAATGGGAATCATGTGATGGGCGGCCGCAGTGACCACCTACTCATCTTCAGCTTACGACCCTGTCTTGACCTTAAAATCATCCTAGACCGTCGGTCCGCGAGCAATTTGTCCGACCGCTTCCTAGTGTTGCAGCGTATGCTGTTTGCTCGCAGCACCTGGGATTTCGGCAACCTAAGCTGCCAAACCCGCCCTCATTTGCCTGCCATGTCATCAAGTTGTAGCCGCAGCTGTCTTCAACACAGGCAAACAGGTGCGGATATTCGTAAACGTCTCCGCCGATAAGTAGCACGCAAGTGTCTGCGGCTAGATCACAACGGACCCGACCTTAGTTCTGACCTGCATGATTCCGCCTCCTTTCCCCAGTGAGCCCAGCTGGTGGCGAGGACATTGGCCGCGGCCCTGCCCGTGTGCCCGCAAACTCTCACGCTCAATACATAGTACATAGCTTCAACTCGTCCGGCTCACCTCGACTTGGTCGAGACGCACTCAAGTCCAAATTAAACTCGCCCTACGAGACCCTGCGATGTGCCATCCCAAACAGCCTCCAATCTCTGTCTGCTCAGTAAAATGTTACCTAGGTACCTCTGACGGCACGCTACTGCAAGGTGGACGCAGAAGACACGAGCACATCCCTGTATTCGGTTCGGTTCCCTGGGAGCCGGAGCAAGGGTACCACGAAGCGAGAGCACAGTCGGGCGTAGCTTGCGCCATGGTGGGTGTTGCAAAAAGGGACTTTGGTCAAGTCACGATAATGTAGGATACCCTGTCGCCGCTTCAAGATCTCATTTGAGTCCCGACATCCAACCGTCCAGAGTCGTTCGGCCTATCCCTTGCGAAGAATTCCATTCACCTCGTCTTCATCCCGTCACGCCAGGCCCCAGGCAGTATCCGTATGAGGCTTGCCATCTTGTCAAGACGGTGAGTGCACTCACCAGACCAACATGTCTCCTGGTCCGTTGCTGTCAATCGCTGGGGAGCACCGATCCTGAACCTCATAAAGCTCAAATGTCGCCACGAGCTGATTGGCTGCTCTGTGCTGTAGACTGTCCCCGCTGGGTTTTGCAGGCTTCCGTAGTTACACGGCGACCAGCCTCAATCAGACGTTTACACTTGGGACGTGATTGGCATTTAACTCGGGAAAGCCTCGGAGCCAGGTATGTGATGGAAAGGGTCTGAGGAGACAAACCGCGACATGGGTGAGCAGCTTCGGGTGATTCCTGACTCTCGATGGTCAAAGAGGTAAGCTCGACCCCTCAAGCTTATCCATCCGACGCTGCCTCATCTCACCTCACACTTCCTTGTGAAGCATAGCGAGGGCGTCTTTGTCTTAAGTTCATCAATCCTCTGACGAAATCATCTTCTGGCTGGCAGAGTAGTTGACAAGTCGTTTCCGATCCATCTCCGCCATTAGCGGGGGGGCGCTCTTTGACCCCAGATGGAATGATATCCTTGCAGAGCATCTCCGGCAAGCACTGGCCTGCTGCGCGAAAGAGATGCAACATGCAGTAAGTAATCGGACAAGGGCAGAAATCCAATCATTGTGTAAGATCGATTGCTGCGTAGCTCTTTGTGAACGTCAAAGGGTCTTTACTATGTGTCTAAAATGGGGACAATGTTGTCCACAGGAGTTCCGATGAGATATATCCGGTAGAGACTTCCCATGTTGCGCCTCGACGTTCGAAACAAGAGCTCGGGCTGAAGGCGGCTAGACGCTAGCTATGCTGTGCCGGCGGATAGGCGTGTAAATCTCCGCGCTGTCAATAGAGATAGCTTGATGTGGTCTGCCAAAGACCCTCGGCGTAGATCGGCGCAACAAACCATCCAACCGACATGGCAGGGCGGACGAAGAAGCCCGTCACTCCCATTGCATCTGCCGGTGTGGGAGACGGGTGTCCCGGTGTCCCGGACAAAACTGGATATCCATCACTTCCATAGGTAGGTTGTCCTCCATCTTCCATTAGCAGATTTCTGTGGACCTGTGGCTGAGGCACCGCAATGGGTCCCGTCGTGAGGCGGGGTGGTCAGGTCGGGTCGGTGAGGCACACCACGTGACCCGGACCGCGTCGGATTCCACGTCACGGGCATGCAGTCACGTGGACCCGCGACTTCTTGGCTGAGTGGGAACGCGGGTCCTGCCGGAGTTTGCCAGCTGTCAAGCTCGACCTCTCCCCCCCCCCGGGCGCTTGCCTCACGTCACCGAGTCTCGAATTTTAGGCATGCTGAACACAGCGCGCGTTCACGTTCGTCGGCATCCTGTCTCCAGTCATCACGCGCAAGGCTGGCGGCTTTGGCTAAAGAAGATAGAACACAACCCCGCCGGCGACACTGAACAGGTGCCCAGGAAAACTTGCGCTGCTTCTTGCAGAACTGATTTCTCGGATTTCTCCTCCGCCCGCCCACTCACTCACTCACTCTCACTCACTCGCTCACACCGGACCACCCATCCACCAAAGTCCATCGCCAAATCAACGGCACCTTCCCGCTTCAGACAGTGCACTAGGAACAGTCGTCTCCCGCGTCTGCTTCGCCTCAGACTATCTAGCATTGCTGTTGACGTCCTCATACCGGTTTTGTCGGCTGGGAAGCTGCCCGGAACCTCTTTGCTGCCAAAATGAAGTTCTTCATCGAGTGAGCCTTGACTTTTTCGCGACGGAAACTCGGGCGGCACAGCTGACGTCCGCAGTGACTTGCCAATTCTTTTCCCGTACCCGAGGATATATCCAGAACAATATGCGTGAGTGGTCGCCTTAGGAACTTCTGGGTTGGATGAATCACTAACCACCTGCCGCCGACATTAGTTACATGTGCGATCTCAAAAGTTTGTTGCCTTGATATACTCTCGTATGCATCGGACGTCTTGCTGACAAACCAATCCTGCTACGCAGAAACCCTGGATGCAGGCGGCCACTGCGTTCTGGAGATGCCTTCGGGAACAGGAAAGACGGTATCGTTGCTCTCACTCATTGTAGCGTACCAGCAACATAACCCAGAGCACCGCAAACTCATCTACTGCTCACGTATGCGGAAACCCTCCTCATAACGACTTATGACCCCCCTCTCACCGCTCACAGGAACCATGTCTGAGATTGAGAAAGCTCTTGCCGAGCTCAAGGCCCTCATGAAATACAGAGCCCAGGAACTGGGCGAGGAAGAGGAATTCAGAGGGCTCGGCCTGACAAGTCGCAAGAACCTGTGTCTTCACCCCTCGGTTAAGCAGGAGAAGAGTGGCGCCATTGTTGACGCGCGCTGCCGAAGCCTCACGGCCGGTTTCGTGAAGGAAAAAAAGGAACGCGGAGAGAATGTCGACTTATGTGTCTACCACGACGTAAGTACCCAGTCCCCAGGGGCTGCCTCGTTGCATTTTTGACACTCGCAGAATTTGGACCTTCTCGAGCCGCACAACCTGATCCCCAACGGAGTATGGACATTCGACGGCCTCCTGAAATATGGCGAGCAGCACAAGCAGTGCCCGTACTTCACCGCAAGACGCATGGTGAGACTCGAGATAAAGAAGGCGTTGGCACCGTGATACTAAAGCGGGATAGATGCAATTTTGCAACGTCATCATCTACTCATATCACTACCTCCTCGACCCGAAAATCGCCGAGAGAGTATCCAAAGAACTCTCCAAAGATTGCATCGTCGTCTTTGATGAAGCGCACAACATCGATAACGTTTGTATCGAATCGCTCAGCACTGACATCACGGAGGACTCCTTGCGGAGGGCAACTAGAGGCGCACAAAATCTGGAAAAGAAGATATCAGAGATGCGGGACACCGACCAGGAACAGTTGCAGAACGAATATCAAAAGCTCGTCGAAGGACTGCGAGATGCCGACGAAGCGCGACAAGAAGACGCGTTCATGGCAAACCCGGCCCTGCCGGATGATCTGCTCAAAGAAGCAGTGCCAGGCAACATCAGAAGAGCGGAGCACTTCGTAGCATTTCTCAAGAGGTTCATTGAGTATTTGAAGGTCGGTGGGTCTTTGCTGGGTTCAGGCTTCTGATATGCTGACAGTGGTACAGACGCGGATGAAAGTCAGACACACGATTTCAGAGACGCCCCCATCTTTCCTCGCGCATCTGAGAGAGTACACTTTCATCGAGAAGAAGCCCTTGCGATTCTGCGCTGAAAGATTGACGTCGCTGGTGAGGACGCTCGAGCTGACCAACATCGAAGACTATCAGCCATTGCAAGAGGTGGCCACATTCGCAACCCTAGTGGCAACATACGAGAAGGGCTTCCTTCTCATTCTAGAGCCCTTCGAATCGGAGACAGCCGAAGTGCCCAACCCGGTTCTTCATTTCACCTGCCTAGATGCTGCCATCGCGATTCGACCCGTCTTTGACAGGTTCAGCTCCGTCATCATCACCTCAGGGACCATCTCGCCGTTGGAGATGTACCCCAAGATGCTCGGCTTCTCGACAGTGGTACAGGAATCGTACAGTATGACGCTGGCGAGAAGATCCTTCTTGCCCATGATTGTAACCCGCGGAAGCGACCAAGCCTCCGTATCGACGAGTTTCCAGGTCAGAAACGAGCCAAGTGTAGTGCGCAACTACGGCACTCTCCTCACTGAATTCGCCAAAATCACTCCCGACGGCATGGTTGTCTTCTTCCCCTCCTATCTCTACATGGAGTCCATCATCAGCATGTGGCAAGGAATGAACATCCTTGAAGAAGTCTGGAAGTACAAACTCATCCTCGTAGAGACGCCCGACGCCCAAGAGACTTCGCTGGCCCTGGAGACGTACCGAACAGCCTGCTGCAATGGTCGCGGCGCCGTGCTCCTCTGTGTCGCCCGAGGCAAGGTCTCGGAGGGCATCGATTTCGACCACCAATACGGCAGAACTGTGCTGTGCATAGGAGTACCGTTCCAGTACACGGAATCTCGGATCCTCAAGGCGAGACTCGAATTTTTGCGCGAGACCTACCGCATCCGCGAGAACGACTTCCTCTCCTTCGACGCCATGCGGCACGCCGCCCAGTGCCTTGGTCGCGTTCTGAGAGGCAAGGATGACTACGGAATCATGGTGCTGGCCGACCGCAGATTCCAGAAGAAACGAGCACAGCTGCCCAAGTGGATCAACCAAGGTCTGCTCGACGCCGATTCCAATCTGAGTACGGACATGGCCGTCAGTAGCGCTCGTCGCTTCCTCAAGCAAATGGCTCAGCCGTTCCGGGCTAAGGACCAGGAAGGTGTAAGCACGTGGAGCTACGACGACTTGATGAAGCACAAGGAGAAAATGGATCTAGAGAGAATCCAAGAGCTCGAGAATGCAGGTGTGAATGGTGCAGACGGGTATGGAGTTGATGGAGGCGACGACTACGGCATGAATGATGATCTCGACCAAGACCTGATGGAGATTGACGACGGGTTCTGATGTCCGCCCAGAGTCTAGATCAGGGTTGTGGTCTCGGGCGGTCGAATGGCGGCCAAGCGATTAAGGTTACGGACGCTGCTTGGACGAGGCGGGAAAAGGACCACGTAAATTAAATCGTTCACTTATGAAGAAGGCCACTCGATCAATTTCTTCTTAAAACAAAAAAACTCAACGCAGACTCGTCCGACGATAGGGACGATCCTGCACCTCTATGCATGCGTCTATCGTTGCGCCCAACGCCACCTCTATCCGATAACTCTTTTGGTTGCCTTCTGAGCCCTCATCGCAGGTATCGTGTTTTGTTTACCCGGTTTTCTGCCAACCTCCACACACAGCATGCGAATGAAATCCTGGCTCGTCCAGTAGCATGTGTGTGCGCTCAGCATGTTAAGATACTGAATTTCTAGGGGCCCTCCGCCGTATTTCAGATAGTAGTCGATTTGGCCGTTGTCGTTGAGCAGATACGCCTTCCTTTCGGCGATCTCTTCTCGCGTAAAGTCGTGGACTTCGAGCTCGAGTTGCGATGGCAGGCGAGTGACGGATGGCTTTGGTGCAGAAGCAGAATCGATACTTGCTGGGGTTGGCGCCGTACCCGGAACGAGGCTTCGCACAGCGTTGCCCATTGATTTGAAGATCGAAGTGCCACTCGTCGGGACGTAAGCGACCCTGAGGCTGGCCGCGTATACCGGATCGATGGTGCCGTTCAGCAAGTACGCAATGGGATCCTCTTTGGCTAGCACGTTGTAAATGTTGTCCACGGCAATGCAGCCGAAACGCCCAGCCTGCCCTGTCACGTCCGGTGCATGTACATCGCTGGGGTCAGCACCGGGTTTGCCTCGGCCGCGACGAGGTTGTAGCATGCCTCTTTCGAGCAGCATGAAAAAGCCTGCCGGGCTTCCGACCAGGAAAAGGTTGTTTGTGTCAAACTCGAAAAAGTCGACATGCGGGAGATTAGTTGTCAAGTCCAGTCGAGGGACGCGTGTGGGTTGCCGAGACAGGATCTCGATGGCCATAGCACTGCCAAGGGAGTGTCCGATTAGGTGAATGCGACCCTTCTCAGCAAAGCCAGGATTGTTTCGACACCAAAGCCTGTAGACACGGTTGGCCTCTGTGACAAGGGCATTGATCATCTTACCCTTGTGGTGGGACATGTAGAATGGAATGTCAAACATGACATCCGAAATCATACTTCTCACGGCCGGAATGCTACTGGGTTCGATGTCCTTGAGGTTGAATCCGTCAGGGACATGGGTAGCTTTGTCTTCTTCTGTCATCGGACCACCGTCCTCGAATGATAACGTGTGGCGCCAGTTGATCGGAAGTACCATGATCCCGTTCTGGTCCTCTCTCAAAACCCCTTTGACTGCCGGGTTGCCTAGCTCCAAGTTCACTTCTCGGCGGAAAGCGTTGATGGCGTGAGTGAAATGGAAACTTTCGACCCTCTCTGCAAACTTCTGCCCAATGCCGTGAACGACCATGACGAGGTCAGTGACCTGGCCTCGTTCCTTTTCTGAATGGCAGGCTTCGCACTCATCCTGCCTGGCAGCCACGAGAGCTTCACCGGCGGACGAAGCTGCTTGATGAGTCGTTTCACGGCCAGTCCTCTTATCGTGCAGGCGTTCCCACAGTTTTCGATCGAAACCACGGACGACGGGGATACCAATCGTCATACCTTTCATGATTTTGGCGACAGGTCTTCTTCCGTAGTAGGCAGATGGCTTCAGGCTGGGTTTCAAAAGAAAGGCCTGCGAAGCATTCTTATAAATGACATGGTAGCTGGCGTAACTTTTATGTTGAGATGCTGTCGCGGGCTTTGGTTCTACGGACCCTTCCGAGGCTGCCTCTCCGTGGAAACAACTCGCAGCACAAAAGGGATCGGTCGATATCCGAGGGTCCGAGATGGTCTGCATATCGCCTTCACTCGCGTAGTCTGCGTCTTCAGGCCACAGGCGATGAGACACTTTCTCCTCACCAGGAGGGCCGACCTCGATGGCACATCGAAGCTCGTCGCTCCAGGTTTCGGTGTGTGGCTGCAGCTCGCGGTATCCGGACTCCAGTTGGTTTGCCACTGCTGGAGGAATGGGAAGCATCGTGTCCCTGAAACTTCTGTTAGATAAGCTTAGCTGCATAGTCCCCCAACGAGTGACAAACCTGTAGAACCAAGTGGCGCGGAGCACCACGGCGATGTCATTTACGGGAGACCAGTATATGGGTTTCATCTGCAGCGCCGGAACGGACACCATATGCAACCTAGATACGCCGACAACGACGTCGACAGCTTGCCTTCTATAGCTTTCGTCGCTCGAAATTGCGGTCTGAGCTGCATCTACTCTGGATCTTGCAGGCTGTTGTGGCTTGGCTGAAGGTCGCGCGCCACGATCATCCGTGTTGCTTGAGTTTGTCATCTCTTTGGGGGTATAGGATGCGGCAAAAGGGTCCTGTGGTCTCTGCCGAATTCCTGCTCTGAGGAAAGGCTTCCCTGAGATACCGTCATCCAAAGTGGGCGGTCGATATGAGGTAGCGGTGCCAGGGGTTGAGGGACGAGACGTCTGGTCGCTCGTGCGAGATTCGGCCCTCGGTCTTGTTTTGGTATCAACTCCAGGAAGGCCTCCCTCATTGTGAAGTCGACTCAGCTCACTGGCGGCCTCTCGGCGAGGACTGAAAGAACCCACAATGCCCATCTGTCGTGACCGCGCTGAATCTGCCCTGGTTCGGGACGTGACGATGCTGCTGGATGGGGATCGCGCGTCCTCGGATGGGACGGCTGTTGCGATTTGACGTCTCAATTCCATCATCACCTCTTGCACAACATTGTCCTGGTTTAGCGAGGGCTGATGCTTTCTGGCCAGCGCACAGAAGGTATTCTGGAGTTCGGTGGATACATCTATGAATAAGTCGGGACAACAAACTGCAATCGGGGTGTCAGGCAGCAAGTCTGCTGCTTCACCGACGGCGGCAGACGCCTGGAAGATGCCACCATGCTTCTGACCATGTTTTGCGGCTAGGTGGCGCACAAGAAGAGTCAACTTTTTCGCATTTCCTTTCTCAACATCGGAACTCAAGCTGTGATTGCGCACCAACTGCTCGTGAGCCTTGGTATCGTCGGCGGAAAAGAGACTGAGCCAGGCTTTCTCGAGAGCGTTGTTGTCGCCCAGCGAGAAGGCGCGGATTTGACCCCGTGTATTTCGCGCATCCGAAGCCGCCGCCAAGGTGCCGGGCGACAAGGGATCATCGATGGGTATGATTGAAGAGTAGAAAAACTGCGCGGCGATGGGAGGAATACCGTCGTTAGCGCCAACGGAGACCGGCTGAGCAATCGGGGCGAGGCGGCATTTGGGGCCATATGTATGGATTTGTGGTGGGGAGGACATTTTGAACTGTCGAACCAAAAACGAAGCACCGATGCGTGTTGGGGGCAGCACAAGATCGCCGGGGATCGTGAAGTCGGCTCACCGGAAAGAGTGAGTATATTTGGGTGAGGGTCGTTTGAGGGTATTGGACGAGGTTCACGAGCGGCTTTCGGCTGGCCGCGTGAGTATCGTATGCTCGGGCATGTTTGGGGCAGTCACCAGAATTATTCGTCGTGGCGAGGGCGCGATGAGATGCGGCGGAGATCGTGGATCGGGATCTATCAGTGCGGAGTATGAACATTAGCGAAAGACCGAAACAAGAGCTGTCGGGAGAGATTTGAGGCTCACGGTGCGTGGGCATCACGCGGATACCACAGGCGATGGAAGGGTAAGGAAGTTGTGGAATTGGAAGTTGTTTCTGGACTTGAGATGTTGTAGAGTGAGCCTGGACGCGCAGGGCAGGCATCAGCTCCGAGGCGTGTCTCTGGCAAGCACCAAAGGGTGAGTGAGCCCGAACCTTACTGAGAGGGACTTGACGACGCCTAAGCTTTGCAGGTTAGCTTGGGTACCGAGGACGTCGCGCGCAAGCCCCCATGAAGTACGATGTAATCCAACGTCCTCATGTACGGCGTGATCGTACGTAGCAAGCTACGTAGTGAAATGTTTCGGTTGTGCCTGAGGGAGGTGGTAGGTAAGGAAAAGCATATGCTTGACCAAGCCCGTGTCATCCGCGAGAACGATTACTCGTAACCAGATCGCGCGTTAGGAGGTACCTTACCTTTGAATGGATAGGTACGTACCTAGACAGACAGACACCCATGAGTGCTTCGTTGCTTTCAATGACGTAGGTATCGGTAAGGTACCTTACTTTTGCTGATGGCCCATTCAAACATCTCACAGCTCAAATATTAGCGTGGTGGGGATCCCACTGTTACTGCCACATGTGATTTATACCTTGAGTAACAGTAAAACCATGTCTGCGCTGACATTTGAGACGCTGGTAGAAATGTATATCCCTAGTGCCGGTGCAACCCTGGGCTAACATTTGAGATGCCATCCATCTACGTGTAAACTAGATGGAAGCATCCAAATCCAATCGACCATGTCTTCACCTGGCACAGAGGCATCGAGGCGCCAGCTGGGACGGCGGGACCCAACCTACCTATGAGGTACTTAGGTGCTGGATACCCAGGTAGCGGAGACGCGGGACTCTCCACGTCCCGGTCTAGCGGGGCTGGGGTAGTCCGGCAGTTTCCATCCTCCAGTGTAACAACCGGGCACTGAATCCAGGCTCCCTCGACGAGTTAATTGATGTAACTGTGCTTCGACTCGGGGAAATTCCTGGGTCCTAGTTGTTACTTATTACCTACGGAACCCTTGGAGAGAAAACTGATGTGCGATGTGAACAGAAGACCCGCGACCGAAAACCTCGCCTCATTGATTACGCACCTAAGCTGCGGGCAGGCGATCATGTGCTCTCCTCGCTCCGGCTCGGTGGCCTGGCATGACAGGCATCTTTGGTCTACAATGAGTTCATAACGGAAGAGTTGGTGGTTGTTGAAATTGCGTGTCACAGGGTACTTTGGTCTGATTCGCACTTATCTAAGAACAACGAATCACCACGGGCTGCATGCCCTATTAAGCAGGTGTCACTTCCCAGTGACGGCAGTGACCGCTGCTTGAACGGTACGAATACAGCAAAGTGAACGGAACGGGGCCTTGTCATCGGGGAATAAGGTATCAAGAAGCGAGATCCATAGAACTGGATCCCTGGCCGGAGACTTTCTCCTGCTGGCGGCAACTAGGACCCAGTAACTTGGTAAAATCACGATGCTCTCTGATACCTGCAATTCCGAGGCTTCCCATATCTGAACATACTTCTCTGGCAGAGACAAGAGCAACAACAACAGAAGCAGCAGCATTGCCCACGGCCACAACCCAGAAATCACGAGGCTTAAACATACAAGCATCGGGAATAGGTACAAGAGGGCTGTCGCTAAGAATGTTGTAGCACCTATCAACAAGTGATATGAGTTGCAGTGGAATCGGACGTTGAAAGTTATGCTTGTGATTGTCTGTCCCTATTAGCATTGTGAAGAGTGATGGACATGCCTGACACAGATTCTATCGCGGATAAGGTAGATGGAGATGTACACAGATGCAGACCTGGATAAGTTACACATCGCCACGAAGCCACGTCCAACACTTGGTTTGTTTCAACGTCAACGGATTGGCAGGGGTACCTAGGTAGACTTAAGTAAGAGACCCATTCAACCCCGCTTGAACCGTGCACAGGCCATCTGTACACTGTCCTCATTCTCTCCTGCATTCATTCCTTCAGAACATGCCATCAAAACATCCACCATCTGCTACCGGTCCTCATCACCATCGCCAGCACCAATGCGCAAGGCAATACCTTACTTCAGTAAATTGCCTAGGTATTGTCAAACTGGACGGGATGCACTATGCGCCAATGCCCGTCTCCATTCAAATTGTGACACCACCATCCGCCAGGTTGCATGTCACTCAACTCTCCACCTTGGTCTCGACGCCCATCCCTACGTACCTCACCACAGCATGTATCTATACCTTTCTTGGAGTTCGGTACCAGCCAAGGTCAGGTAGGGTTCTTCCTGCTTTGTGCTCGCAATCGCAAGTGTTGGTTGACTACCTCAGTGCCTATGGTGTCGTTGGCTGATCTCGCGACAATCGTGCCGCCCTGCCCCGCATCCAAACCCCAGGCTGCGATCACAGGAGACGCTAACGCCACACACCATCGCCATACGCCATGCGCTATACCGCAGTACGCTACCTACATTATCTTGGGTACCTTAGGTTGCTTAGTCTACATGTCAGGTCGCTCGACGGGACTTTATGGGAGCACGAGGTGTTCCAAGAGAAGCATTCCCAGGAACATCTCGGCCCAAGGAAGCATCAGATCGTGTGCTTTTCATGCCCTACTCCTGTAGCATGCCCGAGTTTCCCGTTGTCGTCCATTGGGTACAATGCGCATCTAGGTAGATACCTTACGTAGGTAGTGTACCTCAAGCCAATAGGTAAGGTATCTACCTACCTACCTAGGCAATGCTCGCCATCAGCACTGGGATACTGTGAAGCATTCGCACAGGCTACAGCTGGCCGATTGGGCTAGGTCCTCTCTTGGATCTACGCTTGAGGTGGACGGCCCCAGCTCGCCAGTGGCGCAACATGCCAGCCCATGCCAGCCAGTCTACCTTATTTCGACATGCTTCCCTAACACCTATGGCATGATTTTCGGCTGGGAGCGGCGTTCCGTGGCGTTACTACTTTCAGTATGGCATAGGTAGTGCGAAAAGGCCCAACGCTCAAGTACACTAGTAGTACTACTAACCGCGGCCGTGCTCCAGGCTCAATCTCCTCCGCCCACCCCATATCTCCTCATCCCGTGCCGTGGCATCACGGTATGTTCCCTTCCCCTCTCTTCACGCTGTCTCTCGCCCCGGTCGTTTGTCTTGCCCGTCTGTCTCCTTTCTCCATGTCCTGGGGAGAGGTTCATGTGTGGGCTCAAGCTAACTACCTAGGGTGAGGTAGGCCAGGCTTGGTCTTGGCACTGGTCTGGCATGGTGACAAAATTATGGGCGGCACCTCAGCGCTCTCCGCGTGCCCATGAACCGTACCGTACCGTGCCTAGCCCGGTATGTATGTACGGATACCTAAGCCCTGGTGCTGTGTACAGTGCGCCTGCATCTGCCCATCTCTTTCTGCTTTCCCAGGTACGGTAAGGTGAGGTGAGGTAGGTAGCTCAGCGTTTCCCAGACCGAACCTTCTTCTACTCATTCAAGCATACCATATGTCTGTTCTACCCCTTCTCTCCTGTCACGTCCGTTAGTTCTTCTGCATCTACGACCCCTCCTCCCCGTTATCGTCTGTGTTGTCCTCTCACCTACCTGAGTTACTTACTTACCCAGACATACCAAAACCGTTGCCGTCTCAATCACGATAACCTCCACTCCCGGCACGTCCACCATTGGCGACATCACCCTTACTGCAGGATAGCTCAGTCACCGAGTATCTCATACAGCCCATTACCATTCCATTGAATTGAACCCCGCTGCTTATCACGACTCAAGCCCGGCGTCGCTGTTGCTGCCACTGCTGCTACTGCTTTTGGGCATGTGCGATAAGGATCGACCGCCGCCCTCAGCCAACACGCTAATCAAGTCCAACTGGGTGCGTCCCCATTCATTGCCTACCTACCAACTACCTACCCGGAGCCCCTTCTTTCTTCCATTCACCAACTCCTGCCGCTGTTCTTGTCCTTCCGTCGACTTGAATTGCAATATAACCTATAGTATCTGACACGTCTCGCAGTCTCTGGGCAGTGCTGTCCAAGGTAGAAAACACAAGGCGAGACAAGTCGTTTTCTAGTATCCCAGCGAATTGACAGTGGGCTCGGTAGCACCGCCAGCTCCCAGCTCCCTGCTTTCGCCCCGACCGCCGATAACGACACCGACACCGACCTCGACCTCCTGTCATTGCTGACAAGCAGTGCTCTCGACGCTGAGTTGACTGTTCAACACACCTCACGTCAATTGCGATCTCCAATAGTCGCAATAGAGGCTGTCCTGTTTCAAAATGGCCACAATCGCGCTCCCCAGGCCTATTCCCCCTCATCGCACCTCATCCGCGGTGGGCTCCGTTTCGTCCATATCGCTAGAGTCCATCAGCGCCGCTCAGCAAGCCCCCGTGCCAAACAAACACCTTCCCGTTTGTCCGCCTGGCCCGGTTCCGGCGGAGGAGCCCAATACACCTCCGCCCTCTCCTCCCCGAGACGATGAACAGATCCAGCAATCGTCGCTGCTCTTTCCACCCGGCAAGTTCGATCGACATGAGCTCGGTTCGGTGGCAGTCTACAACATCAGCCCCGCCGACGTCGCCGCTGCAGTGGACTACACCTCTCGCCAGCCTTTGCCGGATCCGAACCAAGTCTTCCCGTGGTTCCACGGGCTCCACCCCCACAACCATATCCAGCAAGCTTTCTTCATCGCCCGCCATCGCTCTCTGAGGAAAACACCCACATGTGTTCGCGGCGTCACCCTCGTTAAAGCTGATGGGGACGTCGCTGTCGCTCGCCTCAAGGGCGCCATCGCCCCTCAAGAGTTCATGCATCTGTCTGCCTCTGCCGAGTTCATTGACGTCGATCCGCGGGACGGCTTCTGCGTGAGGAACTTTCAAATTCAGGCCGCCAAAGCAGCCATGATTTCTGATATCATTGTATACGGAGATGACGAAGCCAAGGTTCGGAAACTCGCCATTGACATAGCCACAGCGCAGTCACGATGGCGACACCGACACGAGAGTCAAGGCCACTCCATTCCAGAATACAATACGTTTCTCTGCATTTCGCCATTCGACGAGTTTGAGAAGAACCACCAGGAAATCGTTGCTATTGACGGCGAAGGCCAGCTGACAGGCAACGTGCTTGACTTCTTTCACCAGGAGCGGAAAGAGATGTACCACATGACGAAAGCCTCAGAAATATCTCATAACGTCTGGCTCGGGCCAACGCCAGATCCGACTACGCAAGAGGAGGACTACTACGACATATTGATCGAATGTAGCGATGTTGGCCGACTCAACCCCTCGACACTTCGTACACTGGCAGAGTCCAAGATTGAGCCCGCCCAGCGGCCATATATTGATTTCCCGTCCTCTGGCAGTATCTTGCCGCCAACCTGGTCACAAGCAGAGGCTGACGGCATCCTGGAAACATGTAAATGGATCTACCACTTGGCACATGGAACTTTGCCAGCCTGCGAGAAATCGAGCTTCGACTTTGACGGTGACTTGGACATGGACGAACAGCCTGAGCAGGAACCGGTCAACATCCGCCCAAGAAAAATACTTGTCCACTGTGCTGACGGTTATACCGAGTCTACGATGCTCGGAATAGCCTACTTCAGCTACAGCACAGGACGTGGAATCGCCGATGCTTGGCTGCATTTGCACACCTTGAAGCAACGCAACTTCTTTGCGTACCCTACGGATGTGGCCCTTCTTACCTGCATCGAGGCTCGCCTCCTTCACGAATCACCTCTTCATGCCGGCAAGTGCCTACGCGAAGTCACGGCTTTGATCAAGGAACCTGCGTGGCTACCTGGCCTGGACGGCTCTCTACCCAGCCGGGTCTTGGATTACATGTACCTCGGCAACCTGGGACACGCAAACAATCCTGACTTGCTCAGGGCCCTTGGAATCAGCCAGATTCTTAGCGTGGGCGAGACGTCGATGTGGAAAGAGGGTCAGTTGGAGTTGTGGGGTGCGGAAAACGTTTGTGTTGTCCAAGGTGTCCAGGACAATGGTATTGATCCCTTGCGGGACGAGTTCGAGCGATGCCTTGAGTTTATTGGTGAGTTCTTGTTCCTCTTTGGCTCAATGGAAAATGCTAACTTCCTCACGGACCGTGGCCGGCGTAATGGAACGGCCACGTTGGTGCATTGTCGTGTTGGCGTGTCACGTAGTGCCACCATTTGCATCGCCGAGGTGATGCGGGCCTTGGACCTTTCGTTTCCTCGAGCGTACTGTTTCGTCCGCGCTCGTCGACTTAATGTCATCATTCAGCCCCATTTGCGCTTCGCCTACGAACTTCTCAAGTGGGAGGAGTTGAACCAGGTTAAGAAGCATGGCTCTTCCGGCATCAAGCGAGAACTAGAATGGGGAGAAATCGCCAGGGAGATCGCTTTGATGAACAGACCATACGCTCGATAATCCGAAGTACACGTGGATCGCAGCGCGTGTTTTGGTCCCCCTCCCCAGTCCTCCCCAGCCAAGGGAGGTATAGGATTTTGCCGAGGGTCATGATTGATGAGCACCGCAGGACAGGGAATGAAAGTGCGCCCGTCTTGCCATTGCGGTTCATTGGAGAGATATCTCTTGCTGAGAGATTGTATCGCGGATCTTCCGAACGGGGCGACGTTCTCATTCTTCTCCTCAATCTTTCTTCTGTTGGTTTACCTGGTTGAATGTTGGATCATCTGTTAACACAGAAAGGCGTACGGGTTGGTTGCGGTCTCAAGGGGTTCATCGGCTTCCATTTTGCTGCACAGTCGTTGAACAGAAGTATTACACACGGTCAAGTCATGGCCGACGGCAATGAGTGACGATACCAAGAAATTACCTGGCGAAGGCTGGCAAGCCAATAGTGAGCTAGCAAAGGCTTCTGTCATAATATATACAAGGGCTGATACACTGCGCCATTGCGTGCCATGATGCTCGGAGAGATGCGGCTGGTTTTAACCTGTCGTGTCAGCTGGAAAGCGCGTCCTGTGCCATGGGTTCCCTTTTCACCTGGGCAGTCTTCCTCGTAGTCTAGTCCGTTCATCCCGTTTGATTACATCGAATTAACGGCTCACGACGGCGGGGCCTTAGATGCTTCGTATTAGCTTAAGAATTCAAGGTGCCGTAACCCCCCAGTCCACCCTCATGAACAAGGTATGTAGCCAAACGCCTGCGGATGCAATGTCTCCTTCAAAGAAATGCAAACCCGAACATCGTCAGAACAACCTCCCGGCCAAAAACGGACAGGCGAATAAGACATTAAGTTCCATAAGATGACGCGTCCAATTTGTCATCCACGTCAAGTACCCTTTCTCGAAGTGTTAGCTAATGAGACGCATAGAGGGATGCTGACTTACGAGAATTGCTTCACAAGATAGCCCTCTCCACCATGCTCCATGTCAATATTGTAGACGTAAAAGCCGCCGTCACTGGTCACCACCATTACCTGGGGGCTACTACTACTCATAGCCACCACACTACGCAGAGGGCCATTGGGCAATTGCGAACCGCCCGCCAGGGTGCCGCCTCGGGTCGACGACGTTGGAGAATTCGAGGATTTTGGTATCTTGATGTATGCAAAGTCTCGCAGAGGCTCCCACATTTCCGTCACTGTCTGGGGCAGATACGAGCCAACGACACCGGCGACACTGCGACCCATTATCTGCGATGAGCGCCGGAGCATGCTGCTGAACGAGCCGCTTTGCCGCCTGTTGATCTGCTGGTTGTTGCTGCTGCCATTGCTTGGCCCCGTCGGCTCCGCCAAATCGCTTCTCGGGGAACCTGCAGCACTGCCAACTGGCGATTCATTGGCGCTATCGTAACTGCGGGATCGGGACCAACGATCCTGCCTCCCTGGAGAAGCTGGAGATTCCGCAGCAGCAGAAGCCGAGTTATTGCCCGGAGGCGGAGCGCCTAGACGGAAAATATGGACAGTGTCGGAGGTTGAAGAGACGCAGAGCAGCGTGGAGCTGAGGTTGAATGACATGCTGTAGATAGTGGAAGGGTAAGTTCCGCGGCGGAATTGGTAAAGCTTTTGCCCTCCTGGGACGGAAAATACGCGAATGATGGTACCGGTCTCGCTGGCAGTGGCGAGGAGCGTGCCTTCGCTGTTGAGAGAGATGCTGCAGAGTGGCGAGCGGTGGGCCTCAATGACGTTGACTGCCTTGAGTGTGATGGTATCGAACACTAGAACCTCTCCTGATGTCGGAGCCACGTACGTCGACAGCGGTGGCGCATGAGCTGGCCTCTTATCCCCAGTATCCTCTCGAGGCTTTGGCAAAGGGTATGCGATGTAGCAGTTCTCTGAAGACGGTGACAAAGCGCATATGGCACCTGGGTTCGGCGAGGTGGGGATTGTGTAGAGGAGGCTCATGTTCGAGATGTCGTAGAGGTAGATTTCGGACTCGAGCACGACGGCGAGGCGTTTTCGATTCAAACGCACAGCGAGAACGGCTGAGGGGAAGGTGAGTTCGCAGATGACAGATGACCTCTGCTCATAATCAGTGTTGGCACAGAACAAGGATATACGCAGTCTCAACGTGAGGGCGTGCAAAGCTTACCTTCGTATTTTGTATGATTAAATGTCGCGGTGAGAGGATCAACGCAACCAAAGAGGTCGAGAAAAGCATCTCGATAATGGCGATGTTACCGTCATCGCTGCTGAAGATCTTCGAAAAGGGGTCTGTGTGGTAGATTCGGAAGCCTTTGGATGTGCCTGTGGAAAGCGAGCAGTCAGTCGCGGAACGGAAGTTGAATCTGAATGAGGTGGGTTGGGTTTTGCCGGGGTCATACCGACGGCAAGACAGCTGTGGTCTTGGTTAAAAGTAATGAAATTGAGAGAAGTATTGGCCATCTTGCGCAGTGTGGAAGCAGGTAGGTGCGTCGAACAGCAGAGGTTCAAGTTCGCCGGAACAGAGCCGGCGTTGAAGGATGGTCAGACACACAGCAGAGTTGTGGGCAATCTGGAGAGTGTTGCGCAAGTCGGATTGGCGCTGAGAGCAGCAGTCGAGGCTCTGGCGATCTCGTGTCTCAGTTGGGTGAGGTCTGAGGAATATGGAAGGCACAAGAATGTCTCGTCCGGACCAGACCGCAGTCGACCAAGGTGTTCGCTCGTGTTCGTTCGGTGGGTATGGCAAGTCGACTACCGGACAGGCAAGATGGGGTGTGATGGTTCGGACCAAGCCGAAAAGTTGTAATGGGATGTCTACAGTGAAGACTGAGGCGGTGTCGTCGGGTTGGTTGTCGAGAAGGTTGTCCCCGTCGGCCGTAGTCGTAGCAGATGTCAAGACGAGCGACGTCAAACCGTCGAGACTCCTACAGGTTGCGCGTGATGAGCCGATGGGTCAGTCGCGGCTGTGAAGCCCAAGGGCGCGAGGCAGAGAGCTTCCGCAGTGGAGAAGATGTGAGGCAAGGTGTGGAAGGAATTAAGGTAGGTAGGTAAGGTGCTTAACGGCTGAGGCTTTGCGAGTTGACGGTTGACGTAAACGTAGATATCTCGTGGGCAGCTAAGGATAACGTAGTTTGGCGGAAGGTCAGGGAAGGTCAGGTAAGGTAGGTAGGTAGGTAGCTTGTGCTTGTGCTTGTGGGAGGAGTGGTGTGGATCTGGACAGCCCCCAAGGCCAATCCAGTGGGGGCAGCGGGGAAGCTATGTAATCCGTCGGTCGGCTGGTCCCAGCGCCCTGACCAAGCCCGGCAAGCAGGCACCTACGGATATACCTTATATTACTGGACCTATAGGTACCTTATCTAGGTACCTTACCTACCTGGGTACCTACCTAGGTAGGTCGATAGGTAGGTAGGTACCTACTTATCAGGCCCGGCCTTTGTGCCTTAGGCCCAGCTGTTCGTGACGTGTGGCTGTGTCTGGCTCGGGAACCCCCAGGTGAGCTACCTAGAGATCCTGTCGGACCTGGGACGTTTCTACCTAGGTACCCTAAGGTACTCCAGGGACCTTAGGTACCTTACCTAGGTACCTTATGTCGTCTGCGCTGGTATCTGAGGCGACAGCCCGGATAAGAGATTCAGCAACCCACACAACCTCGCGATTGATATTCATTCAACTTGGGTTATTTCCATCTCAATGAGTAGCTTTACGTCAAGTGTCATGTTGAATAAAATAAACGTCGTGTTCCCTCTACCTTTGTGGTATGCAGTTGCTGGTGTTGCGGGCTTCTGCCGAAAAGAGTGGGAACCCAGCGGCGCCTTCGTAACTGAAAATTAACTACCTATTTTGATTTGAGGGAGGGGAGAGAAAGAAAAAGAAAAAATTGTCTGATGTGAGCAGACACCGCTGCGGTGATGGCAAGCGGCTAGACATCAACATCAACACCATTCATCATCACATTTCGGCTTCCTCGTTGGCTGCCCAGTATGGCAACTGCAGTTCAAAATGTTCGACGAACACAGGCCCTGGACGACCTCATCATGGCAGTGAGTATCTGTGACTTCGGCCGACTGGCTGGCTCTACTCGAAGGCCATCTGACCCGTGCTCTACAATCGCGTGGCTGACACGCGTGCTTGGGACAGACAAACAGCAGCTCCATCACCTCCAAAAGGAGCGTTGTAGGTTTCATGACCCTCGTCCTCGCTTTTCTCTCGCTCGGTGCTGGACTGACTACCCTTCTAAGGAGCGCATTTACTATCCCGATGAGCCCCATTACTTCCGTTTCTTCGTTAAGAAGTTCCAGCGAAGGGCTCCTCTTATCAACAGAGGGTATCATCTTCGGCTCAAGGTTATTGATACGTTGGTTCGGCGCTTTCTCGAAAAGCCCTCGAGCTTGAAAAAGGTCGTCGTCAATCTTGGCTGCGGAAGGTGTGTTTGTACCGTTCCTCCACCGTTGTGTCCGACCAGGCGGGCCTGCTAGACTTGGCTGCACCCCTATCACCGCTGCTCGCTGACTTCTACATACAGCGATGTATTGCCGTGGCAGTGCGAGGTGCGCTACCCGGAAGCGTGCCAGAACGTGACTTTCGTCGACGTTGATTATCCAGACCTCATCGAGAAGAAACGTCGTATAGTTGTCGAAACCCCTGAGCTTCGGGAAATTCTGGGAACCTGGGAGGTCAGCGACAAGTCTCCAGTCGTTCTTCAGAGTCAGAAATACTGCCAAGTTGGCTGCGATCTTCGAAGGCTCTCCACTCTCGGGAATAGCCTGTCCAACCTCTTCGACTTGTCCAAGACTGAATTTCTCTTCGTGGCCGAAGTCTCAATCACCTACATGGACACGGAGGGCGCTGATGGAGTAATCAAGTGGGCGGGTACCATTGAGAATGGTTTGTACATCGCTCTGTTCCTCTCTTTGGACCATTTCACTCATTTATTGCAGCTGAGTTTTGTTTGCTGGAGCAGATTCTGCCGGACGGACCCGACCATCCGTTTGCCCACACAATGCTCAAGCATTTCAACAAGCTGAATACCCCAATCAAATCCGTCCATCGCTACCCAACTGTTTCAAGCCAGGAGGACCGATTTGCGACGCTGGGCTGGCCTAAAGTCGAAAGTTGGACCCTCTGGGAGGCTTGGGCTGATGAATTGTTCATGACGTCGATGGAGAGGAAAGCGCTCGACGCCGTCGAACCTTTTGATGAGTGGGAGGAGTTTGCTCTCTTTGCCAGTCACTACGTTGTCATCCTTGGATCCACCCAGGGACGTCAGGAACACGCCCATCTCTCTCTGAAATCCGAAGACTCAGGCATTAAATCATATCAGACTCCCATGTCCTTGTCTGCGTACGATTCGAGCCGAGGTCGTCGACGCTTTGGCGCTGCTATGCTTGTGGACAAGCCAGATGGGCAGACTATCGTGTCACACGTTCTCGGACAAGGGCCAAACGGTAGACTCAACTCTGAGGACTCGTATCAAATCTCCAGCCATCGGTCACCTTCTAGCGCCCCCCGCAATGGCCCGTCAGGCAGAGTCTGCCATACCCTGACAGACCTAGGCAACGTTGGTGTTCTCCTCGTTGGAGGACGGACATCTCCATCTACAGCGTTTCAGGATTGTTGGCTCCGCAGGAAGGTCTTCAATACTTGGGAACGCGTGCAAGACCTCCCATTGTCTCTGTTTAGGCACTCTGTGACGCGACTTGGAACTTCGTTTCTCGCCCTGCTTGTTGGAGGACGATCAAATCATCCACAGACATCTGCGAGCTGTCTACTCTTCGACCCTTCCAGGGGCTGGACACCATGCAGCACCCAGTCTGCTCCACCAGCACTCTGTGGTGCCATCCTCACCTGTATCGGCAGCAGTGGATTTGGAAAGTACGAGGGCATTCTGGCCGGAGGCTTGCTCGCAGATGGTCTTGTCAACCAGGACACATACATATGGTCATTGGATACATCTGGCCCCGAGGTAAGATATACACGTGTTTCGTTGTCTAGCACAGCTGACTGATGTATGGATTCAGCCCTTGATTATCTTTGAAAATATCGGCGCGCGTATCAAACAACGCACGGCAAACCTTTTGTCCAGATTCGGCTCCACAGCTACGTTAGTCAAGGGGTACGTTCTCATATTTGGAGGCGTAGTGAAAGACGTTCAGTTGCCTGCGGCGGACGATATTCTCGTTCTGAAGGTAGCACATCGTGACGTGGAAATTGTCGCCAAGGTTGATGGAATCAGCAGTGCTGGCATTTTGCGTCCTTTCCTCGTGGGATCTTCCGTTGTTTCTTATGGTGATGGGAACATCGCCATCGTTGGAGGGGGTGCAACGTGTTTCTCAATGGGAACGTGCTGGACACCAGGAAGTTACAGCCTCACTTTTGAAGCGGACCGACTATGGGAGCACAACAAGTCACCACTTTATCCCCATGCATTACCGCCGGTAAAGTACTTGGAGACGGTCGAAATCACGAGGACGGACGCGAAACAGAATACCGAGCTTTCTGCACCTGCCACTCTCCAGCCCATCCCTCGCGTCAAAATTGAATCCAAGGAGCAATTCCAGTCAGTCTTGGACGAGGGAAACCCCGTTGTCATTGTGGGCTCAGATATCGGCTGTTGCAAGTCCACGTGGTCTCCCGAATATCTTGTCGACAGTGTTGGGCCACACCGTGAGGTTTGTATACCATTTCCCTATCACACACTTTGCGTTGCATAGTCGTGTACCGTGCTGATAGCTTGCTCCAGGTATCAATCCACGAGTCTGCAACCGAGAAGATGGATTTCAACGCCAAGAACTTCCGTTACGTGACCAAGAAGTTTGCCGACTTCATCGAGGAGGCACGAAACGGGAAACGGCTCTACATGAGGGCACTTTCCAACGAAGAACCGTCGAACCGTCCCACCCAACTGTCTGAGGACTATCCTTCCTTGGCGAAAGACTTCACATTACCCTCTCAGCTTGCTTTTGTCAGCGACAATACTTTTAGCTCCGTTCTGCGCATCTCCGGTCCCGTGAATATGTGGCTGCACTACGATGTACGTCTTCTTCCCCTCCATTGCCTCGGATCAACAGCAAGATGGCGGGCCATTCTCACACTTTTCCCGATAGGTCATGGCAAATGTCTATGTTCAAGTCGTGGGTTCAAAACGTCTCATTTTGTTCCCACCTTCGGACGTCACCCAGTTTTCTTTTGCTCCTGGTGCATCCAGCTCCAGCGTTGACGTTTTCTCATCGCTTGAGTCCGACTCACTCCGCGGTGTTCACCCACACGAAGCTCTTCTGACGCCGGGAGACATCCTCTTCCTTCCACCTCTCTGGCTCCATACTGCCACGCCCACTTCGCAGTTGAGCGTCGCTGTCAACGTATTCTTCCGAAACCTACAAAAAGGATACTCGGTAGGAAGGGATGTCTACGGCAACCGTGATCTAGCCGCCTACGAGAAAGGACGCCAGGATATTGCACGCCTAAGAAGTGGTTTCAGCAAACTCCCCCCAGATGCCCGAGACTTCTATCTTCGACGCTTGGCAGATGAGCTCTTACAGTCAATAAAGGACGTGTAGGAGGCAGGGTCTAGTATTATTGTTGCAGAGACAAAGATTTACAATCGGCCCATTTTCTGCGTTGTCCGTTAGAAAAATATCATTGCATCGTTTCCCAGGCCTCTACTGTTCTTCCTCTCTCTCTCTCCCTCTCTCCCTCTCTCCCTCTCTCCCTCTCTCCCTCTCTCCCTCTCTCCCTCTCTCCCTCTCTCGGAGAACATGGTCCTAGAAAGAAGCCCATCATTGTGACAGAAGCGATGAAGTTCGGCACTAGCCAGTAAAACAGCTCAAGTCCCCGTCCCGTCGTACGGAAGGCTCCGAAGATATGGCAAACGCACCCATTGAGGATCGTGGTGAGATACTGGTATGCCATATAAGGGACATGCAGCTGATATTCAACTGCGCCGGCGTTGCAAACCCACCCGTCAGAGGGGCATGGCAAACCTGACAATTGGATCCCGAATTTTGGCGTCGTGTTCCTGCGATGGGGCCGGTCGTTGCGCACGTGAATCCAAGGTGCCAGCTACCTAAGGTAGATACAGTCGCCGGATAGAAACACGAGTTGCTTGTAAGCCGCTCATGTGCAGGCTTCAATATTGGTTTACCAAGTATGACCGTCGCGTCCTGATGGATGCGCATAGTAGAGAGCCTGCTGACCTCTACCTACCTACCTAGGTGCCTTGGATACATCACCCGACCGATTGGTGCTTCATTAGGTAGGTAGGTAACGGAAAGATTGGTGGGGCGTTAGGTTGATAGTATTAGCGGCGAGGACAGTGGAGCCAATAAGAGGGCGATTTGCAGGGTCATGTCCCCTTCCCTGAGAAATAAGTTACCTTACCTAGGTAAGGTGCCTAGGTACCTAGGCACAGGCACGGTGGAGCGTGTTCACCTGCCACGTCACGCTTGATCCCTGCTCCGCCCAGACTTGCGGTCTCGTCTCTTTTGACGAACTTTTACTTCTCGACTCCAGATACTTCTCGACACTAGTGCTGAGGGAGAGGAGTCGAGGAAGGAAATTCTTGATGCTTCGGTGTAGTCAATCGGTGAGGCTCAATCAGGGAGTCGACAGAGTTCCGCAACCCTGCACTTCCGAGGCATCTGTTCCATCTACGTACTTACTGGGAAAAGCTAGGCATGAGTATGTATAAGCCAGTACCGTTTGTCATCTTGTTCCTGCTTTTGCCTGGCTCTATTCCCTTCTCTCCGTCACGGCCTTCGAATGTCATGCCCTTGCCCACGTCCTCCATACATCATGAGTGACATCATCTGCCTCTCGCAGTCCTGATTGGAGGAACACCCGGACTGACAAACCGACAGTCCTCAAGAATGTCAGTCAGAGACACATTGTTACCCCGCTCGTTTCTCTGATTAAACAACATCAATATCCGACAATCCAAAGGCCGTGCTCACATACAAAGCTACTTGGTTACTTTTATGAGAAAGACAGCCACAATCCATCGATTTCACAACGAAAGGGGGCTCAAGGCCGGATGACAATCGAATGTTGTGCCACCCCTGGTGATCTCACATTGCATCTGCGGCCTCACCATCCTTAAACCACGATGCCTCTTTGACTCTACCTGAAAGCACCTGCAGTCTCACTTGCCCCCAACCTGAACCTGACCGCGAGGTCCCCCAGTTGGCCGAAGTACGGTATTGAAAACGAGGCTAAGGCATACCTTAGCTTGCAGACTTTTCAGTACTCCTCTCTCTCGGTGTCGAGAGAGCCTCAGAAGACAGCCTCAGCCTGGCTTGCCCCCGGAACTTCCAGTCATTCTTTCACTGCTAGGTTGACAAAGAAAGCTGGAACCTCCAACCAGCGCATAAGAGAACGCCCATCACCTATTGTCCTCCATTCACTTTCACGCCATCAGGAGTGACCACGCATCCCACTGCCTCCGTCTGGCCCTCAGGATCCGTCTGGTTCGCTCAATTCCCTCTGCCAAACACCCTTTCCGTTGGTACAACGACATTTCGCGATACCATGTCGAAGTATTATGACCAAGAAGTCCGGGAGGGCTACGTTCGTAGTCCCAGCCACCGACGGGGCGACCCGCCCCCAGTCTCAAGAGATCACTCACCCGAATATTACTCCAGCGGCGGTGGCGGTCCTTTGGTCTATTCTCGAGGTCCAGTTCCAGTCACTGGTCCTTACGTCTCGGGTGCTATCCCAGTCGAAGGGGCAAACCGCTCATACTACGAGCCCAACTCTTCCCCCCACCCTCGCGACATGAATGCGCTACAAGTACCGTTGCCGATACCCTACCGCCCTCGCTCCGTTCCCCCACAAGCATTTGCCGTACGCCGAGCGCGATCTCGTTCGCGATCTCGCTCCTGCTCGCGTTCCAGGAGCCCTATTGGCAAGGCACGCCACGCCATCGATCGTACCTTCACCCAGTCTTCTTCTGGGATCGGGGTTGGACTCCTTGGTGCCGTCATCGGCGGCCTTGCCGCCCGCGAAGTCTCGGACGCTGCTGTACGCACTCGTAATCGTAAAGAGATGGAGAGTGGAACTTACCATCCACGACCACATCATGACACCGAGAAGGCGCGCGTGATATCAACCGTCGTCGGCGCCCTCGTCGGCGGGTTGGGTGCCAACGCCCTCGAGAAGCGCTTCGAAGCCGCTCGGGAACGTGATTGGGAACAACAGCAACTTTGGGAGAAAAGATGGGGAAGAGAGCGCGATCTTCCCCACTACGACACCGGCAAAGAACATGAGCGCGATCATGGCCGAGGGCGTACTCGTGGCCAGCGTCATGATGACTGGAACGATGGGTATCCTTCTGACCGCCGGCGCTCGCAGAGACTGAGGAGTGAAGAGCGCTATCAGTACAGGAACTGAAAAGATCTTTTAAACACGTTCGGACGTTCGGACATTTTACGTTGTGATGATTAACGATGACAGGTGGAGGCAACTGGTCTGCAGGACTCTTCTTTTGGTTCAATCACGGAGGCAAAGTCACGGCATTTGGCAGATATCCCGCATTGTCCTTTGTTATCATATCTGCATTTGACATTGATTCTTAGGACAGGCGGATGGAAACCTCGCTCTACGCCCATGAATTCAATCTCTGTGGAACTAGTCGTACATTAGGCTTCACCTGACACTGTCTCGACACTTCGTGGCTGTATCGTCTCCGGTATATCGCCTTTCCATAATGACCTGCGACGCGACAATCCTTCCAAGAAGACGGCCGTCTTGAAAACCGTTACATCTCCTCACCATGTAAGCACGGGGCACGACCCAGCGAACGGCCGCTGCGTCACCTCGCCATGTTACCTGGATATACTCGCACAACTCATCTCTGGATCTCCATTTTGTCCAATGTCGGCAACGCCCTTCGGTACGGTGCGATGCAAGCAATAAATCTTTAGTCATCGTATCGCAGCGTCCCAGCGTCAACATCATAGCCATCGGGTCTGAGATGAAGTCCTCCGTAGGGTTCCGTTCCCTCAGCCAGATCCTTCGAGGGTTCCCATCGTCTGTCTCCCTGGCCGTGGATTAATGTCTTGGGAACGTTGTCGCGGGCCAGCTTTTCTCGGTACGCTTGCTCTCGTTCCACAATGACCTTGAAGAACTGTGCTATCTCAGCAATAGCGATTTGTTGAGCCTCAGAGCATCCGATGGTGTTGCAGAGAGACTGAGAATCGACGAGCTGCTTGGCAATGACGGAGTCTGGCTGACAAAAAGTACGGATACGCAAGGCTCGGGCGTTGACCTTCATCGCGTGAAGCAGACCTGCAATCTCTAAGGGATTGCCTTGACGGCGACCAAAAAAGCGGAACTCATCAATGTGCAAGTGAACAAGATCGAGCTGCGTCTCCAGATCGTAGCGGAAGCCGACAACTCTGGGACGGCCCTTCTGATTCCATCCGTCGGCGATCTTCTTGAGCTTGTCAGGGTTCAGGCGGCCGTGGTTGAGCTCGTTTGTGATGTAGGTGTGTAGGGCATTGCTGATATGAAACTCCAGCTCACAGTAAAGCAGACTTTGCTCGCGAGGATCTAAAGAGATAGTGATTCGCTGTACGCGTCCTTCTCTCACAACATCTCGCATTTTGCGGTTTGGCTTGCTTTCAGTCTGCCAAGCATTAGCTGAGGTATATTGATATGCAGGCGCGATATGGACATACCATCTCCTTGGCCATCTTCTTGAGGCTGTCAAGTAGACCAGGTTTCTTAGGCGACGATTCCTTGTGTTTGCGGTCCGGACTTTTATGTTCGGTGGTTTTGATCGGTCTCTCAAGCCATCCTTGCTCTCCAATGAGGGTCTTACCAGCAATTTTCTGAATGGGCAGGTCTTTGTAGGCAAAGTAGGGTCTCAGGGGGGAATACAACTGACTAGCATCCATGACTGGCTGTCTAAGGGCCTCAAGTCTGCCCTTAGGACCCTTGGTCTGACCATGCCGCTGGATGCTCTCCCCATGGCTGATCATGTCGGGAGCGAGGGTCGGAGCGAGGGTCGGAGCGTTCGAATCCTTCCATCCATTGTATGACTGCAAAACATTTTCAATGTGTCGCGACATGTCTGCCTTCTGGATGCGTAGAGGGCTGGGCTGGTCCTCATTCTGAGAGTAGATGGAGGAGGAGTCTGCGTCGTCGGGGCTCGCCAGACCAGGATTATCAGGGGTCTTGGGAGGTGCAGCAGCGGACTTCACCGCAGCCTTCTCAACGAGAGTCCCGTATTGTCTTCGATCCTCAACGTTGATTGGTGTCGGCGTATTCTGTTTGCGACGTTCTGCAATGTTGGACGACATAGAGCCCTTCGCCTTGTGAGTCTTGTGGGGCGATCGGGGCATCAATTCCGAGAAAGTCGTCGAATCGCTTTCATGACCTTTCTGTGCTGTCTGATTGAACCGACCGTCTGCAGCATATGCATGAGGCGCCTCGTGGTCGGTAGCTGGGCGAGTTCTAGACGCAACCTGCGCGCCGACGAGGTGATGGCCTCGAACGGGTGATGTGGCTGTAGATGTCCCAGTGCGACCACGACGAGAGGGCGACTCACTGTTGCCGGCAAAGCTGCCCAAAAAGATTAGCTGCGTAACAAGTGCTACTCTCGATGTATGCTTACACGTCTGTCAGTCTATCGACTTGGTTCTCCGTCAAGTTGAGATTGATCTGGACGGATTTGTTTGACTTATGACCGTAGGGTCTCAGAGGCGACGGTGACCGGCGTTTCTTTGGCGACAATGGGATAAATGAACCCTGAATGGCCGAGGGAACCATCATGCGACCCTTCTTCTCCTGGGTGTTTTGATCCTGAGTCATGATGGGGAGATCGGTAGATGATGTCGCGGGTGTTGTCGAAGGCGCGTAGGGTGGCCTGTCGGCAGAAGAAGCCATAGGCCGAGGTGCACGCGTTTCTGTAGGCCCAACTTGGTTCGCAATCCTCGATCGAAAGGAATCTTGACGAGAATCTGATTCTTGACGTTGACTGAGCTCTCGCGGGGGTGAAAATGGCCTTTGGGTGAAATAGAAAGGGAAAGACCCAACGAGCTCGGGATCCTCGAATTGATTTGTTGGAAGCTCTGCAATCCAAGTTTCCACTCGGCCCAGACAAGAAGATGGGTCTAGAAAGAAGAAAAATCTTTTTTCAGCAAGTGCTGAGATATGTGCTGGGGGTGGTGTTCTGATAGAGTTTCCACTCTAGTGTTTTTTTCTCTCTTTCTTTTTTGAGGGTTTGGGGTTTGCTCCTCTTTGACAGTATTTCCCTTTGAGCAGGCGAGTTTGTCTTGTTTACGTACCTTGTTGTGAAGACCATTCCCTCACCAAGACTCTTGCGGGGCTCAGAGCCTCTTCGAGGATACAAATGCCTTAGGTGAATGAGCGGGAGTCTACTTGCCAAGGACTGAGGGCTGCAGCAGGAGAAGGAAGGAGCAGCCGTCAACCAGCTACAGCTGTGCTTTCTCCGACGTACCGCCATAAATTTCGTCATCTTCTCGTTGCACCGAAATGCTATCATCCCATGTCGGTCGTTCATCACCACGTCTCGGTCCGTATTTCATCTGAATCGCGTGTTCATCTGACTTTATTTAGCTACAGCATAATTTACATTCCTTGGGACCTACGTTGACCTGAATCGGATACCAAAATTCTTTGAGGCATTTGCTCCGGTACATGCGATTCCACGGCATCCTCGAAGTCGACCTCCGATCGGTACTGGTCTTGACCGCCGCTCGCCCCAATGTCACAAATATCGCTATGTGACGCCTGTGAACACGGCACGCCCACTCTCAACTCCTTGCCATCGAGAACAGGCTCTAATAGGGGACTGTCGCTTGAAACATACGCATAGAATGCTGATAACGATGGTTGGCGTCGTGCTTGGTCTAACGGGACGGGTCAGCATGTGAAAGCTGACCGTCTGCCAAGTGTGGCCAGAACTTACCTGACTTTTCGACTCTTTGCCTAGAAGGTGACTTAGGGCGAGAAGAAGCACGAGATTGAGAGGTCTTCTCCGACTGATCGCTCGGAGTCATCCTGCCTGAACGGGACGATGGTCCAACGTTACGAAGCACGGGCTGCCGCTTCGTGATGGTCAGCTCACGAGCCTTTCCAAGCATGACTTCAGCAGCAGCGGTTCTTCGTGCTCTCTCATCACCCGAGGCGTTACGGGAGGGGAGGATACCCGAGTCAGCGGGTTTTGTCGATTGAATTGGGCCGCGAAGTTGGTTGAGCGATGGAGCACGCCGGAGGTTGTGGGCCTGGAGTTTGACTATGCTGGCAGGGTGTATCCCTGGATGCTCTGCTACCAGCCATCGACCTCCAGGAGCACCACGCTGTTCACCAGTGTTTGAGTAGGTGAAAGAATACTGCGACTTCTCCGAGCAACATTCGGAAGAGCAGATGGCCCGGAAACCCGGAAGAAAATTTGTTGGCGCTTGTAATCCGTCGTTTTTAGTGGCAACACCGCATTGGCTGCGCACTATGCTATGGTAGCCCACGCGATCTGGCTGTGATGACTTGAAGTCACCATCATCCATGGCGCCGTCAAGTCCAAACCAGTTATTGCGCGACTGGAGACTAGTTTTTCCGTCGCGTTTTGCAGATTCACCGTGGGCAATGCTGGGAAGTCTGTCGCAACCGGCCTCAAAGGCGTAGGGACTTGCATTTGGTGAGTTGTGCCCGGAGAGGGGGGTATCCAGCCCGAACCAGTCTTGGCCTCTTTGACGCCTCGGTGTTCTCACTGCATGAGGGGATCCGACCTCGACCTGACGAAGAGGACTTGCAGCTTTCTGGGACACCGTCCGACCGTTTGCGCGGGTCTTTGCAGGTGAGGGTTCCAACAAGATCCAACGATAATCCAGACCACCATCGAAGCCAAGCTGAGGTGTAAATGGACCACGAAACTCCTAAGACGGGCTCATTAGACCTTCCGACGCAGCTTCCACGAGCAACTTCCTGGCCTTGATGTCTGCTGTGGGCATAAGATCACGTGACAAAGACGATGGCAGCGGCAGACCGTCGGCGACCAGGGAGAATTTTCGCGCAAATATTGCATGCGGTGTCATGCAGCCATCGGGCAGAGGCACTGGCGTGACATCGACAGAGTCGTGCATTGATAGGACGGTGTCCAGACCAAAGATATTTGCAAGCCAGCTGCGGCGTTTGCTCTCTAGCGGTCGTCCTTCACAGACAGCCTTCTTGAGGGGGTATCTTCTCTGAAAAGCACGACGCAGAATGCCTGATTTGCCCTTGATCGTAGCTGTAAGTTTGCTCTGTTCAATGTCGACCGTATCGTTGCTGTTTCTCGGATCTGGCCTTGGAAATGACGCGGTTGTTGGTGTCACTTCCTCTTCCTTTATGAGCCTCCCGGCCTGTGAAGTGCCGATGTCCCACTGCATTTCGTGCAGCTCCTTTGGATTGGGACTGCGAAATGCGCAGGTGCCGCTCTCGCGCGTAGAGACGTACATGGTGTGATCAATCATCCATGCCTTGCGACTGCGTATACAGCTTGGTTCATTCGAGCTGGTCCGAATCGAGGGATAATAGTCGGACAGCCTAATGGGATATCGACCTGGATGCTTCTGCCGCCACTGTACGAGACTGAGTGTCGGTCGTATAGAGGTAGTGATTGTTGACATGTGTGGTATGTGAGGCAACTCGAGATTTGACTAGGACACAACTGTAAGTCCAGGTACGATATAGGTACTTGACTTGAAGATGGTCCACTCACATGTCGGTTGAGATGGTCATGTTTCCAGCGTTGAAACTCGGCTCCCGGGTCATCAGAGTACTGACAGTCGATTTCGATCAGCTCGTAGAGCACTCCGCCTGCTAGATCCAGGTTTTCGTCTCCGAGATGCTCGCGTAGAACCAAAAACACCTGCTCTAGCGCTTTAGCCGCATAGTCACTTGGGTCAAGGGGGAAACCGAGCTCGACCCACCAACTGAATACCGTCACAATACTGATAGTTGCGAGGAATATGGGCGCAGTATCTGACAAGAACATTGCGGCACTCTATGCGACGGTCAGCAAGCCTGGAGCTGAACTGAGACTTGCCGGATGAAAGCGACGTATAACTCACTCTCTTCGTCATATCCATTTCGAGATAAGGTGTCTTGGGTAAAAGCGCCTGGCATGCCGGCGAGCCTCTGTCGCCAGTCATCGTCCTTGGGATCGGACACGGTGGGCGTAGATTCGACCCACGTCTGAAGGCTCAAACGATTTCGCATCTTGGGCTGAATCGAGATAGCGGACCGGCAACGTTGCGAGTGAGAAGGAGGGTGTTTAATGGGATCAAGGAGACGCGGGATAGGAACAGAAAGAAAAGCCGGAACTGCCTAGGCAGGTACCTTATTGACGATGACATGAGGAGATGGGACTAGGTAGGAAGGAACAGCTGGAGCTGAGTAGCAGGAGGCGGGAAGTAGCGTCCACTGATGGAAGTTTCCCCCTCCTTCCTCTCCTAGATATTTTTCCTGCTTCTCTCCTTCCAACTCAAAGCCATGGTATGTCGTACCTCCATGCACAGTAACCTCTTTCAACATAGGTACGTTAGGTAAGGCCTGAGCTGGGAGGTGCTTCCCACGCGTGCCATCACTTCTCAGTCTGAATTACGACGTCGAATCTTATCTTTCTCGGAGCACAGAAGTCACGGCGTGTACCGCAGGAGAGTATTGTGTTTGGAGCCACTTGGTCACTCGACCAAAACAGGTTGCTCTGCTAGAATTCTGCCAGGCTGATGTCTTGTGGGGAGACCGAAACTTTTGGCCGATGAGGTTTTCGAGGCAGCCAGAGGCCGACCATCGAGATCCGGGCGCTGAAGCAAGAGGCCCGACATGCCGGAGCTTACTCGAGCCTCCTTGTCAAACGGCGAAGCACCGGATGGTGCCGGGTAGATCCCGTCCCGGACGAGTTGGCTAGCGTGTGTCGGAGCCGCCGTGGCCCGTCGCAAAATCGGCTGCGACGTGACGGATGGATACCATACACGCGATATACACGCGATAAGGCATATTCGTGTAGGAAATGTAGGGCAACTGACCTACCTTCTCGGTGACTTGGAATCATTGTCAACGGAACGTGCGGAGAAGCGGAGTGGTGATGCCGTTCAGTATGCTGGCTGCACCCCTTCACTTCAACTGGGCCTGGACTACAACAACGCCAAACCAAGAGTGCAGGTACGAATTGGGAGGCAAGAGGCTCTACTATGTACTTGGGGGATCACGTGTAATCCGGAAACAGCATGGGAATGGCAGCCCAGCGTATTACATAAGGTCCAGTAAAGCCAACCTATGAGATTGAAGATTGGACGGATTACATACCTACGTCTACGGATACTTCAGTCGTCTCACGCTTCATCTCTGTTCCCCGCACTCGCTTTCTCCAACTTTCGGGAGAAGCCATCCCAATCCCAGCCTCCAGGTCGCCAAAAAGCAGACGGCCCCACCACCGACTTGCCGACTCTCCTTCCCGAGTGTCTTTTGTCTGGGCTGTGGTGCTCCTGAGCAAGGATAAGCACCCAGCAATGCATCGAGACTCAATTTTGTTCCCCCAGGCCGCCACTCACTTGCCCCTCTTCTTTCCCCATGAAGTGCCCGAACCGAGTAGTGTGTCCGAGTCTCCATCTCCATATCCACGGATTAAGTGAACGGCATGTCTTTCGGTTCCCCTCTCGGTACCGCCGTACAGCCCCAACGAGGTACTTCACCTCCCCCAATGTGGGGATTTGGAGTTCCCGGCCTGCCTTGCCGTCCCCGTTTTCCTTACCGATTCTTGATGCCGGCGAGCTACTGTTAGCATCTCGGTCCCCTTCGGATGAGTCTCGCTCGTCCATCACATCCTTGTCGTGCACTGATTTAGAAATCTGCTCCCTCATCCGTTGGGTGCCGTATATAATCCACCATATTTGCCTTTGGCTTCTCTGCTCATTGCCTGAATTCTTTCCTCTCTCTAACACTACTCAACCGTCGTCCGCCTTCTTCCTGCGCGTCACCTCTGTCTGCCCGAGATCATCGCGAGCTCCTCTTCCTCACTCCTCTCCTCGAGCCAGCGCACGTGAATCGGCATTGCAGAATGGAAAACCAACCCGATCGTCACTCGGGCTCCACGCTCTACGATATTGGTGAGACTGGCGACGAGAGTATTCGTGTTCATGTTGCTGACCTGTCAAGTCATCGTCGGAGCCGGGCCGGTTGGACTTATGCTGTCGACATGTTTAGCCAGATGGGGCTACAAGATCAAGCATATCGACAACCGAGCTGAGCCCACGCCAACTGGCAGGGCCGACGGCATCCAACCTCGTTCCTTGGATTTGCTGCGAAATATGGGTCTCAAGTCTGCTATAATGGCTCACAAGCCTGCTCGGGTCTACGAAGTCGCTTTCTGGGACCCTCCAAAGAATGGCGATGGCATCGCTAGAACTGGTACTTGGGCCAGCTGTCCCAGCTTCATCGATGCCAGATACCCCTTCACAACGCTTTTGCACCAAGGTCATATCGAGCGAGTCTTCATCTCTGATCTCAACAAGAACGGCGTCCACGTCCAGAGGCCGTGGACCATCACCGGGTTCACCTCCAATGAGGCTGAGAACTCAGAATATCCCGTGGAAGTCCGGTTAGAGCACGTTGATGGGACTGCCCATGAGACCCTGCGCGCCAAGTACCTCTTCGGTGGTGAGGGCGCCCGATCATTCATCAGAAACCAGTTGCAGATTGGTATCAAGCACAAGGATCCCATCTCCCACGTGTGGGGCGTCATGGACGGTGTCGTCAAAACGGACTTTCCAGATATCAAGGCAAGCTTCTCTCGTCCACATGCAGCGAGGAACTTAATCTAAACCGAGCCCAGATGAAATGCACCATCCACAGCAAACACGGTTCCATCATGGTCATTCCCCGCGAAGATAACATGGTGCGCCTTTACATCCAGATTGCTTCCTCGACAGACCCCGACTTCGATCCTCGGAAGACGGCTACAGAGGAAGAGGTTCAAGAGTCTGCCAAACGCATTCTACAGCCATACAATATTGAGTGGGAGCGAGTTGAGTGGTACTCGGTGTACCCCATTGGACAGGGTATTTCGGATCGCTACACCCTGGATCACAGAGTATTCCTGGGAGGTGACGCATGCCACACCCACAGTGTACGTCCAATCTGCCTGCTTCCCTCACTGCATTACTGACATATTAGGACAGCCCAAGGCAGGTCAGGGCATGAATACTGCGTTTCTCGACGCTCAAAACCTAGCTTGGAAGATCCATGCCGTGGAGGGAGGCTTTGCCAATCGCGATATTCTCAAGACCTACGAAACTGAACGTAGGGATGTCGCCGAGACGCTTCTGAACTTCGACAACAAGTATGCAGCGCTATTCTCCAAACGGCCACCTGCCGCAAGCGAGGTCGAGGCAGCTTCGGATAAGCAGCCCGACAACGGCTCGGACAATGAGTTTATCCAAACCTTCAAGGAGTCTTGCGAATTCACCAGTGGATACGGCGTGGCATACAAGCCCAACACTCTCAACTGGTCTGAGGCACACCCGGCCAAGTCGCCCCTGATCCACACCGAAGGTACCAAGCTTCGCACGGGACGAATCTTCATCAACGCCGATGTGACCAGGGTCGTTGATGCCAATGTCGTTCACTTGGAGCAGGAGGTTCCATTGAACGGTTCGTTCCGTATCTTCGTCTTCGCGGGCAATCCTTCCACCACACGAGGTGCCCTCAAAGACTTCGCCACTCATCTTAACAACAAGCGGTCATTCTACGCCGCATACCTTAGAGATGACATTGAAAGTGTCTCGCACCATGAGACGCATAACCCCCACAGCTTGTTCTTCACGATTTGCACCATCTTTGCGGCCAACCGGAGCAGTATTGAGATCTCCCGCGACGTTCCAGAGGTTATGGGACGTTATCGCGAACACGTCTACGCGGACGACAGGTGGGACCGCCGCGTGCTCGATGCGAAGGCCGCTGCGCATGCTAAGATGGGACTGGACGAGGAGAGGGGCGGCGTTGTGGTCGTGCGACCTGACGGTTACGTTGGTATGGTTGCTAAGTTGGTTGAAGGCAGCGGCACAATTGACGCGCTGAACGAGTACTTCGGTACTTTTTGTTCAAAGAAGCTGGGTGAGACCCTTGCCCAACTGTAGCTTACGCGGGGCGGGTGATCGGCATCGGAGTCTGCGTTACTTTGCATAGCATCATTACTGTTCTTGTGTATTACCTCACATAGAGTGACGCCTTGGCTAGGTCAGCCGGAGGAGACCAGGATTGTATATAGATACCAGTAGAATGACAGTACTGTCAATATTTTGCCGGCACTGTATTTTGATGACTTTCACGACGCCCTTACACTTCTAGAGTTATGAGGGCTAGTAACTACTTGCGAGGCCATCTGGTTTCGAGCTTGGTTCCATAACAACTTGGCGATGTCTGCTGTTTTGCAATTTGTCGACGTTTGAATGACCCGCCTCCTTGCTGGCAACATGTGGTTGGGACTGTGACTAGAGGGCGGTTTCACTTCCTTTACTATGTATGCAATCACTACTGGAGTCCTTGGATACGGAGCAGAATCCATTAGGTGCCCCTCATGGCGTGTGCCTTCTAAGCTATATTGAGTTGTCACTTCATGTCAAACTCCCAGAAAACCCAAAGCTGAAGCCCAGGGCTCGGAAGCGCCATGACTCATGCGTGTTCTGTCTACATGATCACCTCCCAAGGCCGAACCAGTCCCTCGTCGCCCGTCGTCACAAGCATCTCTTCCACACCTTTCCTCTTCGACCCTGCGTCGTACCTCTTGCACCAAGTGACATGGTTGATCTCGTACGGACCGTGTGCGTTGGACACAGTCGTCTCAACGTGCCATTTGCCAGACTCTACCAGCTTACTGGTTTTCGCAGTCGAGGCCTCGCCGTCTCCGTTTGCGGGGGATACATTCACCTCTCCTGAGCTCGCACTCTCGTCTTCTCGGTAAATGGCGATTACGCCGTCGCTACCAGTGCTGGCCAACAGACCCGTCGCCGCACTCCACGCCACCGAGTAGATGTCCCTCGTATGTGCCTTGGGCAGTATGGCAGTGCAAACCCATTCTTCGCGGAGTGACCTCCGCATAGTGTTGGGAATGCCCCCCAGACCCGAACGAAAGCCTGCTGCGACGCCTCCGTCTTCTCCATCGTCCTCCTCTTGCAAGCTCCATATTCGTATCGTCTGGTCCGCGGAGTAAGTCACCAGTCTGGGAAACCCGTTGTCTCCCCTCGGTTTCTGTTCCCATTGCACTCCCCAGACCGTGCCTTCGTGACCCTCGAGCACAGAAACGCAAACCCACTCCCCATCGCCGTCCTCACGCCATATGCGTACTGTGTTGTCGTAGCTGGCGCTTGCGAGGACGTCGGCACTGTATCTCCTCCGTGAGTTTCTACCGGGCACGTCAGGGCACCACGCAATGCCCTTCATATCACCGTTGTGCTCGTTCAGCACAGCAACCGTCTCCCACTCGTCGTCCCCCTCCGTCGCACCAACGTCTTCCCATATCCATACGGTCTGGTCTCTGCTGCAGGTGGCAAGATACGCGCCGGAGGGAGCGAAGGAAACACCCTTGATTTCCGAGTCATGACCTTCGAGTACTAATGTGAATTCCCAATCCTTGTCGCCGTCGCTGTCGCCATCTGCGGTTGGGCGTCGTGATGAGCCTAGGTCGATCTCTAAGGGCTCTGCGGCCGAGTCGTTGCCGGAAAAGGGCAGTTCGCCGTCCCAACGCCAGAGGCCGGCGGCCGAATCGAAGCTGCCGGTGACGAGGCAGAGCTGATGAGGAGGTAGATTGGGCTTCCAGGCGACGGAGCGGACGGAGCGCGTATGGCCTCCGGAGAGGTTGCTGTGGGAGGAGAGAGAAGACAGCGAGTAAATGGTGACCGATTTAGAATGAGCGGTCGCGAGAAGCGGTAGAGTCGGATGGGGTACTGAGCACCAAGCGCGCTCGTAGAGATCGGGCTTGAAGGGCGATAGTGGGAGAATTTGGACCGCCGAAGACGGCGCGTTTGCAAATGGAGGCATTTTTTTGGTTGCGGAGTTGGTCGCGAGAAGGTTGCCGTGCCGTCCCAAGGTTGGTTTCCTCTTGAGAGACGGACGCTCAAGGTTGGAATGCCGAGAGATTGGTGCCCGATCAAAAAGACGATCCGGCTTGATGCTTGGAGCAAAAGATGCGTGGTTTGCAATCCCGAACAAGCGACTGGATGCACCTTAGTTGCAATGTTGGGCGGAATTAGTGATGCAATACCCCACCACACCTTCTGCAACTGAGTGTGCGATCTTTTCTCAATTGCAGGGGCCGCTGCCCCGCGATTGGGGCCTCCCTTTGGGCGGGGATCGCTGCTGTCAGGTCGGGTCCACGGACGGGACCTACCTAGGTAGAAAGCAATCGCGGGCAATCATTATTCCACTGGGCCTTATCCAGACTCGGCCCCACTCGACTCCGGGCACGGATGTCCGGGTCCGGGGCCGGGGCCGATTTGTGACATAATACGCCGAGCTTTTCGAAACTTCCTTCGTCATTCCATCCCTACAATCTCATTTCAAATCCCAGCTAACATAAAGGGCATTCGCGTTTAGGGGCTTTGACTTTGACCTGCCGGCGTATCAACAGCTCGGCGTCTTCGCAGGAGATCCCGCCTGCCCCTGAACAGATGTTCGTCCACCTCGCGAGAAGCCTACAAGACTTCCACATGAGCAACAAATACATCCCCGCTCACTGATAGATGGGTTTCAAGCACAGCCTCTGATCTTCAGTTTCAGGTTTGGGTCTCGTTGTACTCTGGTCATTTACTTGTACGACTGAGAGGGGTGTCGTACAGACATCCCTGAGACATGTGGAACAATGCCGTTGTGTTTCTCAATAGTGCACGGATCTCCAAGACAAGTTGGGTGCGTATTTGCCTGTGCTTACCAGATACAGAAGAGAAAGCATGACCAGCTCCAAATACAGGCTTTAGTCCGCTTTCCATTTCGTGGCGGTCGTGTGCCGAGTCTGACAATGGAACAATAGAAAACCACGCCGGCGCCAGTGCGACGCATCTCGTAGTAGATCAAAACTTGCAAAGAGTCTACCTCTATTCTTTGACAAGAGGCAGAATCTTCAGCCCAGGGTATGGCGAGGACTGTACCTCGGCTCATAGTCTCTAATGTTGAGTCGGATGGAGCGGCAGCTCCGCAGCGCAAAAGAAAGCTACGAGGGCAAATTTCGAGAGATTCCCCACAGACGCAATCATTAGAACAGCATGCAGATGACATTCAGGTTGGCATCTGTAGCGGGGCGGTCTCTTAAGAGGCATTCTTGAGTACGTTGGGAGGCAAGTATCGTTAAGTCTGTTCGGTTTTGACGCACCGACCCGCCGGGGTTTTGGTTTTCTAGCCAGCTTCCATCACTCACGGAAGTTGATCCGAAGAAGAACCTAACCAGAAGGATTACGATCGTTCAGACAACCAAATCAGACCAGTTCACGAACCATCTTTCGGGTCAGATTTTGCACCAGCTGTTCACTAGCTCAGGGGGTAGTATTCGCCGGACGATGACGGTGGTGCTATTTGGAAGGCTCATCCGAATCCGCGACGATGAAATGCGCCGCGTCTTCGATTCGTCATGCTCTCATCTGGTTGGCTACTGTTTGCTGCCCGACTCATAAAACTGGCATGGCGACAGCTTCTTAGCCCAACTCGGCTAAAGCATTGAACTGGTGTCATCACAACACTCACAAAGTTCTGCCACAGTGAGCCTTTGGATTTCGCCAGGGCTAGCTCGGTTTGATAGAATATACGGCGCTAGGAGGAACTATACCCTCTCTGTCCCAGGGAAGAAAGGCTAAGTTTTGAGGCTTGGATACCACATGGTCGGCGGGCCTGATCAGTCTCATTCTGAAAAGTCTACCTGCCTAGCGGCTTTTCTCACCATACGAGGCGCAGAGAGTTAAGAATAGGGAAAAGCAACGGAAAGTCTCTCCGTCAGAAGAGTCATGATGTTGAGATAGGGGCTTCTCAGCAGTTCCGTTGGACAATCGCCAAAGCTGATCGACTGGAAGTAGAAAATAGTAACACCACTCCGTCCCAAGGCCCTGCTCCTCATTTCCAAACCAGGTGAGATTCAAGTCCATACGATTCGGTCTGCCTATTTCGTTTTGTATTGGCTTGATGCTTCTTAGGAATCCGGAGTGAAACGTGTGGGAATAAACAGATGCGCCGTGTCGTACAGCTCTCGAGAACGTCTCCCGCTGTTGTAATATTGGTTTCGTCAACCTTGTGAGATGGTGGCAGAGAGTCATGCAGCCACGACATTGCGATCACCTTGCCGTTTGGAGACGCTGCACGTCGTGACATCCGACGTCCCGTCTTCTTTCCTTTTGACCTTGCTTTCTCGCTCAGGCTCAGCTTGGGTCCTGGAGGCAAGGTCCAGAGAACTGGGTCGCTGCACCAGCAGAATGTAGATAGCTGCGTGGCTTGAGCGAATGGGGTGAAATTGCAACTTGCGGGCGGAATCGATTCCTTTCCATCCATCCTGTCCACAGGGTCGATAAACGGGCCGAGTGAAGCCAGGAGGATGGCAACCAGCGATGTCGTAGTGATGACCAGATTTATCTTGTTCGATTACACGGCTTGGTGCTTCATACCTGTTTTCGTTCTCTGTAGCCCATAGTATCGGTTTCCAAGACTCTGGTGTCTACCATGGACAGAACTGGCACGGGCACGGGCCCAGAGCAGACGGCTGCATGAGATGGCTGCCGAGCAGATGTAGCCAGCCCTCCTTGCTTCCATGGTACGAAAACTTGGGCAGCATAAGTACGGAAATCCCGGTACGGTAGCCCTGTGCGTAGACTGAAGGATGCATGCAACTGACTAGGATAAGCCAAATGTGCATCCGTGGCGTCTGCTAGTCCCCATGCCCGTGTGATTCTCGTCAATTCGCATCCGTGTGTCACCAGAAAATAGATATCGGCCAGAAGCCAGTGGGCGGGCGGCACACCCTCCTGTCAAATCTCGATAAGCGAGTCGTCTTTTTATGTATCGTGTATTGGTCGCCGAGAGGTCGAATATTCCGGGCACATCGTGGAATGGCACTGGAATTTCCAACTCCTTTTGCTGAAACGAGACGATCGAGACTAGTCAGCAGTATCTTCGATTGGCCGTCATGATTCCATGCCTGCATACAGAGCGAGCCCCCTCCCTTGTCCAGCTGGCAGCTGAGTCAGGCCTCTGGCTGGCGGTACTACGACGGAGGAAAAAGAAACAAACATTGTATAAGCGAAAGTTGATGACCGGAAGCTCAAATAACACTTGTCCACGCATGATGTCTCGACTCAGTCGGCTAGAACGAGACAGGTTTCGGCTGGACTTGCCAACAGCCGCGAAGCTGACAAGCCTCGCTGCATCTCCTCACTCCTGCTGTCCGCCCGCAGGGAGCGTAGATCATCCTTTCATCGACCGAGATCCCGTCCGACGTCGACATGGGATATGCATGCAGTGGCCAGCCCGCTTGCCTCCAAAGAAACCCTGCTCGGGGTCAATTCAGACGAACACCTTCTCCAGATTCCTTCGGATGGCCCAGGTTTATTGCTTCTCGCAGCATAGGTTTCCCGTCTGTTCCTGAATGTTTCTCGCCGTGGGTAGGACGTGCGGGATTGAACGGCGCTCCAGCCATCATTCCTGAGCCAACCGTTACTCTAACACGCCGAGTCGTGGCGTCGAGACTAGTTTCTTGGTCGGCGCCTCCTGAGAACTTGTGAAAATCCTTGTCGGACAAGACCTGTGGTCCTTCCATGCTTCCTGGCGAGCGACGACGCCTACCACTGACGGCCTCCCTTGATCCCGCCATGTCTCTCATGCTGCCTTCTGTCATTCTACTGTGAAGTCTCGCAGCCCGGCCTTGCGTGTCAGTGAAACGCAGCTCTCTGGTTGGTTCATTTGCCTGCGTGTCTACGACATTCCCATGCAACGGACTGCTAAGCTGAAATCCTCGCCTTGCCCTGCGTTGGGCTAGCCGGAAGTGGCTGGAGGCCGTTTCTTTTCCCATGTCGCATGGGTTCAAGTGGAGATTCGTCGAGGTTAAAATTCCGTCACTTCTGTCAAGCTTCTTACCCAGCTCGCGCCGGTCGTAAGAGAAATGGTAGAGCAATTCTTTCTTTGGACCAGCCCGAGATCCAAGTCCATCACCTGCTCAGAAGGGCGTCACGCTACGGCGACAAAATCTCGTCGTGCGCGCGCTAAGTCACCGCGACCAGGGACTGACCAAGGGCGAGGTGTCCGAGCATCCCAGGGACGAGAGTAGCCTGCCTCGAGGGTCATTGGTCCATAGTGAAAGAGGCTTGTTCTGATCTTGATCGGCTCGGGTGCCCTTTACCGGCGTCTACACGCTCCTCGATCAACTGCAGTCGATCAGCTCAGGCCAGCCCAGGAACACCCGGCCCTTGGCCAAGCCCGGTATAGGCCCATCGCCCAAGTCCCCAGTTCCTCCTCACATACTAATGGCGTGGCTTCAGTGCTAGTCAGCTCTGCTGCGCCTAGTAAAGGCAAAGAAGAGTAAGGAGAGCTCCCTGGCTGGCCTCTCCTGAGAGCCATGCTCCGCGTCGGTAGGGATACTTCGTGAAATTGCTCACTGTCGCGCCAGAGCGTCCGTAAGTCCCGCACGAAGTACCGCCATTTCTGTCTTACTCTGACATCCTTGATATGTCTTGGATGGCCCCCCAAGCCCGTCGCCTCTGAAGAAGCACGCCTTCCCTATCTTTTAACCAGGCCAACGGCCTCTTCGTCCCTGGACTTGCCACGCGAGTTGAACGACATATCAACAAGTCGATAGACCTTCGTGGTCGAGGAGAGACATTCGAGAACGAAAAGCGCTGGGCGGACCCTCCCCGTTAGCCGTCGTCAACATGTCTGCAACGACTGAAAACCTGTTCGTCAGGTATCATGGGCACATCGTGCCTCGGGCCTTCAATGGCGGCTTTGTCACCCTCAGCTTCGTCGTCAGCCTGATCGGTGCTGCGTCAACGCTTGAGTTGCTGAATCGCAGAACTTCGCATAAGGGAAAGTTCAACCAGTACGCCTATTCCTCGGTCCCATCTCGCGACAGCGTTTGACTGATTGTGCCGCAGTTTACTCTTGGTCAGCTCCGCGGTAACGATGGGTGGGATCGCTATTTGGTGCATGGTAAGTCGGCCAACGATGCTCGTATGCTGATTCAAGTCTCACACATGGTCAGCACTTTATTGGGAACCGTGCCATCGATTTGGCTGACGGTGAGGCCGAGTTACAAATCGCATATTCGAGTGGCTTCACGGCTTTGTCGTTCTTCGTCCCTATCGCCGTGCTTCTCGCTGCTTTCGTCGCAGTTGGTATCAATAATACTGTTTCGTGGTGGCGAGTTGCCATCGGAGGAGTCCTTGCCGGTGCCGCCATATGTGGAATGCATTATCTGGGTAACAACTCCATCGATAACTACATCTGCATATATAACCCGGCAAACGTCATAGGTGCAGCTATCATCGCTGTAGCTGCCAGCATCGTCGCACTCTCGCTTTTCTTCGTGTTCCGGGCGGCATGGACAAACTCGTGGTGGAAGCGGGCAACTTGCGCGGTCGTGCTGGCTGGTGCTGTCTCGGGAATGCATTGGTGTGCGGCTACCGGCACAGAGTATCAGCTCGTCCGCCTCAACACGGGCAGCAATGAGCTTTCTCGTAACACAACCGTTATTGTCGTCATCTGCTTGGTGAGTTCTCGACGGTTCCAGGCGACGTTTCCGAAGCCGGCTCTTCGTTTCTGACAGTTGTGCCAGTCCATCGGAGCCTGTTTCGTCATGGGCGGAACAGCCATATATACGGCTAGGATCATGAGACGTTACGCTAGCAAAGCTCAGCAGGTCGTGCTGGCGGCTGCGGTATTCGACAAGCACAACCGTATTCTCGTCAACCCGGACGGACTCATCCCTACCGAAAAAATTACAGATACATTCCTCGAGAAGAACGCCACAGATAATTTCAGCATCTCTCACCCACTTTTCCTTTGGATGTTCCAAGCATCTAGGAATTGGTCGGGGATCTCGACCCTCGTCGGCGGAATGACGAACCATCTGGCCCACCTCCCTCGTCGAGGCCGCGACCGTGACTCTCGGGCGGGTATCCAACTGATCAACGAGCATGGCGAGTTGATCGAGAACTATGACGTGATCTTCCGCGAGCTTTTCTGCGTCGCCGCCGCAGGTCTTGCCGAGAAGATGAAAGAACACTTGACATCTGTTGGCCTCCTGTGGGATGAGATTCTGCCGACGGGGGCGGGGGGCGAGCGTCCAGGAACGCAAGAAAACGGGCTACAGGAGCCCGAGACCGTTCTGAATCCGGATGGGACTGTACGCAAGGCTGAGTTATCAGGTACCATGGACGACATGGCCGAGAAGGGCCTCAGCCGTCACAAGCCACATGAGTTCGGCCGTGGGTCGCTCATGTTCTTGGTTCGCCGAGTCCAGACCGATCGAGAGATTGAAAGGCTCGAGGCTGCCGGGTACAGGTTCGCAGAACTGCGACAGGTCGGCAACATTATTGGGTCCAGCATGCAGATCAAGTCGTCCGATCTCGAGTCGAAGCTCCGAAATATGGCTGCGTATGCGGATGACAACAATCAACTCGAACCTGGTGTTCACATGGGCTTCTTTGGCATCCGCGCACGCGTTGGTGGCTATGGGTTCGATGTTCTCGTGCGCAAGGGTGCACGAAACTTGCTCCCCAGCGTGCAGATGCCGATCGACCGCATCGAACCTTGGCAAGTGGATTTCCTCCGACAACTAGACCGCTTGACGCCCCTGGGTGTAAGCAGACGGCTTACCGCGTTGGGCAATCTGGGCACGCGAGAGATGCTCTTTGCCTCACAGTTGACCGACAGCATCGATGCACTGCGGACATGGATTGATGACCCAACCTTCAACGAAGCAATCCTGACGCCCACGGTTGTCACCCTGCCAGAAGACCACGGTCCTGGCGAGAACTCGTCGTCGCGTCAAACCAGCCTCGTTACGTTTCGGATGGTCATCCCGATTCACGTAAACGTTTCTAGCAGCAAGTGCGAGTTCATACCATTGAACTTCTTCAAAGTACACCAGCTGGTCGGTCGCAACGCGTCCCGGCACCTTGCTTTTACCCAATCAGTGCATCGCGAACTGGCGCCCGTGATTCAATCTGTCCCGCTTGAAAAGCCCAAGCCCGTGGTACAGAGTCAGAGGCAGTCGCGTCTGCCGTCGTCCCTCCGGAAACTCGTTCACTTCGGCTCGTCGTATCCCGTCGATTCCGAAGGCAACCCTATTCCGACAGTGCTTGGGCGGTCCTCTTCCGCGACGAATTCGAACGAGTCGAGCTCGACTCTCAAGCTGTGGCCAGGGCGACGCAGTAGCGATGCCCTGTCGCCGGGTAGTTCAAGCTTCGATGCGCCTCCGGCGTACCCGACTCATGAAACACCGACGCAAGCATCACCTTTCGGGGGTATTATGGTCAGTTCCCTTTCTCATTCGCAGCAAAATTTCCAGTGAACTAACCATGATTGCAGGTTTCGGAAGAGATCAGAGTCGAAGTTCATTCGGCTGGGGAGGTTGCGCAGTCAACTTCTCAAGAGACGAGCCAAAAGAACCGCCGAACGCCAACCATGATAGGCAAGAGGATCAGTGACAATCCTGTAACCGTATCTGGTGGAATTGCGGGCGAACAGGCGGTTCCGGTAGCGGACGAGGCACGAGTGAGTGGCTCGAATGGTGGTGGAATCGAGATGCGGATGCTACAGGTAGCCGAAGTGAGAACCAAGGTCCATGCTGGCGATGGTGTTCAGATCTCCAACGTTGAGGCAGAAAGGGTGAACGACATACCAACCTTTGTGGACGAGCTATTTACCATTTGCATCGAAAGCCGTTGACGCGTCGCTGGCGCCGAGGCAAAAATCAGTCTGGTCACTGGAGTTGGCGATTTTGAACAGAGTTGAAGGCAGCACAAATAGATACCCTGGGAATAATGGGCGGCTATACCAAAACACAGGTCTGTTTAGTCGCAGTCGTCTGTCGATACTTGATATAGGCGCGATGCATTCGTGAAGGGTGAGGGATTCAAGTTACATACCAAGGTAGGCAGGTACCTAGTAAGGTATCTGACCGTACCTAAGTGAGAGCTACATACATGATAAACGCATATCTCAATATGTATATATACGCCGCAATATGTTAATAGACAGAAGCATGATGTTATCGATGTGCAGCAACAACCTCCCCATTCATTGGTGGATACCTATGCGCCCTTGACGTCACACTCAGCTCCGCCGGATCTGGCTTCCATGGCCTGCCCAACGCGTGGGTGGGTGGGCTTGGGACGCTGGAAGCACTGCCCGGGCTGGGCTTTGAAGCTTCGCGTCAACCTTGTAGGTACCTACCTAGGTAACTGCAACATATGGATGAGACTCGACGGCTTAGGAAGAGGAAAGGAAAGCAGGAGTACCTCAACGCGGGCGTTGCAGAGCCAGGCGCGCCATCAGCGTCATGTGCCTCTATACAACTCGCGTATGCGGTAAATTGTCCATGTCTTTAAATTCGACAGCATAGCTCTCCCATCCAATGTGAGTAGGGCGTGAGTAAAGAGAGTGTGGTATATAACCAATGGAGCTCCCATCCCCTTCGCCTGGGTTGGGCTGGTTCTTCGGTTTCCCTACCTACTTCAGGTAAATGCAGGTCTCCGCGCCCCCCTCAGCTTGCTCCCATTGTCCGCTACCTCAATTCGGCATATGGTCGTTCGTGTTTGCTTTCGATCAACAGACGAACACGGCGCAAGAAGCTTCTGAGCAATTCCTTATACGGTGTAGGTTCTCGCACTCAGTCAAAGCACCTCCTGCAAGCGATCAATCGTCCAAGTTGTACACACTCACTCCCTGGTGTCCTCATGAACTGCACATACGTACCTTCCCATCCATCGAAAAGCAGTATCTCTATTGCTTCATCATCGCCCTCGCATCGTCTTCTTCCGTCTTCCATGCGTTGACAAGCGTGACACCACCAGCTCGGCGTCCGTCTCTCCCCGGAATCAACTCCGACCTCGACCTGCAGCCCCGATAGGCCGGTCCGACTTGGTCAGAGAAAGAAAGAAACGAAAGGGGGAAGAAAAAAGAGGGGAAAAAAGGAGGAAGAAGAGACGACGGCAACATGGCGCCCATTGCGCGATCCGCCCGTCTTCTGCGCCGAGTCGCCCCTTTCGCTGGTGCTGTGACTATTGGCAGTGCCATCGTTTACTACAGCTACCGACCCCGCGACATCCCCGGCTTCGAAGCCGCCGCTGTGCCCCCTCCCATTTACGGCGCTGATGGTACCTTCAAGCTCCCTCGCTTCCCAAAAGTCAAGTCCCGAGATGAGCAGATCGCTGCGTTAAAGCTCAGTTCCGCGATGCCGGACGAAGAATACGATGTCTTGATCGTGGGCGGTGGTGCCACGGGCACGGGAGTCGCCCTCGACGCGGCGACTCGCGGATTGAAGGTGGCATTGGTCGAGAGGGACGATTTCTCATCGGGAACATCCTCCAAAAGCACCAAGCTCGTCCACGGAGGTGTGAGATACCTAGAAAAGGCCGTTTGGAATCTCGACTATGCGCAATACCAGCTGGTTAAAGAAGCTCTAAAAGAACGCAAATACTTCTTGCAGACGGCGCCTCATCTGAGCATGTGGCTTCCCATCATGCTGCCGATCGACCGGTGGTGGAAGGCGCCTTATTACTGGGCCGGCACAAAAGCCTACGACTTTCTCGCAGGCAGCGAGGGCATAGAGTCTTCCTACTTCCTCACCCGGTCAAAAGCCCTCGAAGCCTTTCCCATGCTGAAACGGACCGATCTTGTGGGTGCTCTTGTTTACTACGACGGCGCCCACAACGACTCCCGCATGAACGTGTCCATCGGCATGACGGCAGCGCTCTACGGGGCTACCGTGGTCAATCACATGGAGGTCGTCTCTCTCCAGAAGGATGCTCACGGGAGACTATGTGGTGCTACCGTGAAGGACCTGGTCGCTGGGAAAAACGGCAGCCAGGTCGAGGATATTCCGGTCAAAGCCAAGTGCATCGTCAACTGCACTGGCCCTTTTACCGACTCTATCCGGCAAATGGACGAGCCCAGCTGCAAGGCCATCGTTAGCCCGGCTTCCGGGGTCCATGTTATCGTGAGCCTTCCGTTCTTGCCTGGTACACCTCTCTCTCTCTCTCTCTGCACTGGCTAAGTTGATGCCACAGCTTCCTGGATACTACAGTCCTTCCAACATGGGTCTCATCGATCCCTCTACTTCGGACGGTCGTGTCATCTTCTTCCTGCCATGGCAAGGAAATACCATTGCGGGTACCACTGACGAGCCCTCCTGTATCTCTCCCAATCCACTACCCGATGAGAAGTCCATCGAATGGATTCTCAATGAGATCAGCCACTATCTCTCCTCCGACATTAAGGTGAGGCGGGGTGATGTTCTAGCCGCCTGGTCCGGAATCCGCCCTCTCGTCAAAGATCCCAAGGCCAAGAACACAGAATCTCTCGTGCGCAACCACCTCGTCGACATCTCGGCATCGGGTCTGCTTACGTGCGCTGGCGGAAAATGGACAACCTACAGACAGATGGCCGAGGAATGCGTTGATGCAGCCATCGGCGAGTTCGGCCTCCAGACGAAACCCGTCACCAACGCCCCCCGCATCAGCGGTACAGAATTCATCGACGATGGCGCCATGCTCGACGGCACCTGCAAGTCCCACGAGGTCCGTCTTATCGGAGCCCACGGCTTCAGCAAGACCCTCTTCATCAACATCATCCAGCACTTCGGAATCGAGACCGAGGTCGCAAAACACCTCACCGAAAGCTACGGCGACCGGGCCTGGACCGTCGCGGCCTTGTGCCGGCCTACGGACAAGCGCTTCCCCGCCCGCGGCGAGCGAATCTCACAGTTGTATCCATTCGTCGATGGAGAAGTGAGGTATGCCGTCAGACACGAGTATGCCCAAACGGCGGTCGATGTTCTTGCTCGACGTACGCGACTTGCCTTCTTGAACGCCCAGGCATCGCTCGAAGCTCTGCCGAGAATAATCGACATCATGACCGAGGAGCTGAAGTGGGATGGCCACCGACAAGATCTGGAATGGAGAGAAAGTGAGAGTTGTTTTCCTCTGTTGCGTGGGTTGATTGGCTGACATATATTAGCGGTCGCCTTCCTCGAGTCGATGGGGCTGCCCAAGCCGATGCTCGCAGCCACTAGGAAACAAGTCGAGCAAGGCAGAATTGATTTTGCGAGCTCGCTGGAGTATAAGATGTACTCGCGTCATAATGGGATTGCCGATGAGTAAGGATCTTGTTCGTTACCTGTGCCACGGACAACATGCGCGCGATGCGGTGTTGGACGCAGAGTGGCCTGTCGGGAAAAGCAAGTTTGGCTTCACGACCTTCGCAACACAGAGTACATGCCAACCACGGGCTGCATTCTCGCGTCTGCATCAGCCGCCTCGTGTTAGTTAGTCACTGATGACAATATTTCCCCTTCTAAATGTGACCAGAACGACTCTCACAGTACTGACCGTTACATACACGGGAGAAATATATATTCGAGTTGAAATGAGCATAGAGTGATCATTCGTATAGTCATTGGTTTTGGAGGTTCAAATGAGCTGTGTGGCAAGCACCAGAATCTCCCTCCGGCATGTTTATATACATCTACCACAGAACATTGGTCATAACCCTCGTCTCGCCGTCCAAAATACCGGTATGCTTTGTCCAGGGGAGCTTGCCGCTCCCCTGAACATAAGAGAGAAACTAATGCTTTTCCCCCTCTCTTTAAAATCAACCGCTCCCGCCAAGCTCCTCGCGATGCGTCATGAGATTTTCCAGGCCAGGCTTTGTGAATGCCATAATAACTCCTTATCCAAATGCTCAAACCCAAGTCTATCGTTCCCTTTTCTTTCCCGAAAAATGCAATCATGATATCTTTCTCGCCGAAATGGTGACCAAATGCCAAAATACAATTGTCGAAGACAAAATTGAACACACGCCTGACTGCGTGCGGAAAACATGGTATCGATACCTCGCGATGTATTCTTTCAGTTTCGTGATGCTTCGTAGTCGTGAATGCCGTCTAGCTGGAGTTGCTGCTTGCCCGGCGAACTTCAATATCGACATCCTTCGGAACAGGCCCCATGCTGAAAACGCGATGCAAGAGACTACGCTTGGTCATGCTCGTTCGCCGGTACTGGTAGTCCTGGTCGCACGGACTGAACTGCTTACTTTGTCGATTGAGTTCGGCGTCCCATCCGTATATATCTTGACCAGGAGCAGCGTGACAGTAGGATTCGCGCTCGTCCGTATCGACAGCGATTGCCTCTTCCGGTTGCAAGCTGATGCCAAGGAGGTTCGAGAAGTCCGTGAACTGACAATCCACTGGTGGAGAAGCGGGCAGAGGCAGCTCGCTCGGCCTCACCTCTTCGACGGCCGGCCCATTGAACCGCGTTTCCGTCGCCTCAACGCCGACTTCGGGGGTCGCGGGGGTGACGATGGGCGTTGGCAACGCAGGGGAAGATACAGGAACGTCGCGCACAGCCGGCAGCGGAGCGGACTTCGCGTCTTGATCCTCGGTGATCTCGGTGGTGATCTTGAGGGGGGCCGGGGTATTAGTTCGTGCTCGCACACGGATCGACCGTCGCACCAGCCAAGGCCGATTTTGATGGAATGGAGCGAAATCTTTTGCGGCCATGCCACCTTTACGTCCACCGTTCAAGTGGTATGAACCAGTGTTGACAACCTTCTCGCAACCCTGGCTGCTCTGTGCCGGAGGCAGTCGACTACCAGGGTGAGGCTCCTCCCAAGGGTTCAAGAGGTGACGGACACGGGAGAGGCCCTCCAGGGGGAGATGAGAAGCAGACGTTGCGGGGGTGGTGGATGTAGCGGGTGGCATGACCTCTGATTCCTATAAGGTGTTGCTGTGGCTTGCTTCAGCCATGACAACGTCTCCGTCAGGAGCGGAGGATGGAGGATTGTTCCGGCGATTGGAGCGAGACTTGCGGTGGATTCCCAAGCCGAGCTTTGCACCGACCTTTTTCCAGCCGTTGTTGTGTGCGGTGATGGCGCGTTGGAGACCGCCAGGTGACGTGCTGAAGGTCCAATCCGACGTAGGCGGAGTAGTGGGAGGAGTCATTGGCTCCATGCCAGGTGAAGCGGCACTTCCACTGTCATCCGTCAGTCCCTCGCGCTCGGTGTGTTCACCGGAAGCCGACGCGGATCGGCTGGTAGCTCCGCTACGCCCAATGGTCAGCTTAGGAAGAAACTTGGGAGACCGCCCGGGTTCTTCTAACCTGGCTCCTGTATCATCGGCTCCTCTCGTGCGCCCTTGCCTCGCATCGTTGACGTCGCCCTCCATGTTCACATCTCCATGAGCCGGCATGACCGACTCAATGAACGGAAGGAGAACCGAGTCGTTCATCAGCTCATAAACAATCTTCACGGCCTCGTCGAGTTCCGAAGGCGGAGGTGGGCCGGGTGAGCAGGTCTGGGACATGAGACGGTCTCGTACCCGCGAGGGAAGGTTGACCTCACGAGGAGAGTAAGGGATGATGTAGGCTTGCATCAACTTATCCCATAGTTGGCAAACGTGTTCATTTCCCGTGTCACCGATCCACTCATCGTTGGTGATGATTTGTTCGTAGGCCTTGCGATATCGCTCGGCGTCCATGGTGAATTCGAGGGTCTCCAGGCAGTGGTTTTGTGAGAGATAGGCCATGAAGGCAGCAAGCGTCCACGGAGGAGAAGAAGTGTTGGCTAGGATTTCCGAAAGCGAGGGCGGCGTCAGGATAACAGCGCCCGGCAGTAAGCCCCCGCTGTTGGGCCTAGACCTTGACATGACTCTAGATTCCCAGCCCGCAGCTGAAGCAGGACTGGGCGGTGACAGCTCCCTCTCGGGCGATGGTGATGGACTCAGGTAGACGGGGGAATGTCTTCGTATCCTGGACCTTTTCATTTCCACGCCGAGTTGATCAACAGACAATGACAGGTGCCGGATGTGCTACTCTCAAGTAACAGCGGGCGAAAGGCTTGGAGAAAGGGCAGTCGGTATTGCCTAGACTTGCCTCAAAGACCCCATAGAAGGCCGTCGGTGGTGTCGAAAGTGCCGAGTTAGATTCTAGTCGTGATGGTGGTGGTAGAGGTCTGGTAGCGGACGAGGCGGCGTAGCTCGAATTTGTCGTCGAATAATCTTGGTCCTTTCAAATACCAACGTCGAGTTCCTCCTATTCGCTATCAGGGGTGGTAACAGTCGTGAGGGATGTTGTTTCGTGGTCGAGGCGTCAGACCAGAAGAGAGAGAGCAGCTGTGACTGGACGAGCTGAGGAGTTGGAGCAACGGGGTCCACGCGAGGTAAATAGCCCGGGGAGCGTTGCAGATAAGAGTGATTCCTTGGGGGAGGGGGGAAGAGGCGTGGGCCCTTCTCTCAGGGAGGCTTGCACTAAGACAGTGGTGTCGACGCTAGAAGTGTCTTGGTGACGGGAATGGAATTGACTCGTCGCAATCGGCAATGGGTGAGCAGAATGCCGCTTGCAGAAATGTCGCGAGCCACAGTCCGTCGAGGATAGGAATGGGCCTATAACCAAGATGACCGGGCGGCTGGCAGAATGCTGGTGGAGATCTATACGGAATGCGACCAAGCCACAGATTCGTCTGCGGCCCAATACCCTCTCTGAAGCGAGATCCGGTTATGATACAAAACAAAATCCGTGGGAGTTCGTGGCTTGCAGAATGGCGGCGTGACTGACGTGTTGCTGGTTAGGCGGTTCTCGGTAGGTAGGCGGAGGATGCTGATCCAGGAAAAGGACGCAACGCGATGCGTTTGGACGATACAGTCGAATTCGTCGGTAGCGTACGATGAAGAATGCGGGAGCGGGCGTGTAGCAGTGAACGAGAGATCAGGTCGAGGGAGGTCGCGCGTTGCAGATGCGTAGAGACGGGAAATACGGCGGCGTGCGGTTGGTGGTTGGTGGTTGGTGGTGGGATATGATGCAGACTCGCTCGTCTGTTCGAAGGAACGGGGGTATCGTTTTGTCTATGGGTATCACTGTGGGCGAAAGTCGATGTCGAACAAGTTGGCGAGGTTGAGTTGAGTGAGAGAAGAAGAAGAGGAAAAGAAAGTAATTGCCGGCGAACGTTCAGGCGGATCGGGTACGGGAGTGGTAGGTAAGGTAGGTCGAGGGATGGACGGGAGAGAAGGGTAAAGCATTAAGGCGAGGTAACGGTGGGAATGATGGAGATCGGGGCTTGGTAGGAAGGAGAGGACTTGAGGTAGCTAAAAGCGTCCCGTCCCAAATTCTCAGGTCCCCCAAGCCGTCCCTTTCCTCAGTCAAAGTCCAGTCCAGTCCCAGTCCCAGTCCCAGTCCCATCCAGTTCCTTCACCTCGCAGACCCCAGGCCCCGGAGAGGGTCCCAGGCAGGGCCCCAGGCCCAGGGCCACTCACCTCACCTCACTTCACCTGCGCATACGGATGTAGTGTCAATCGAATTCGACGAGTAGGTACTCTGTACCTCGTCTACATTACTCTAGGTATCCATACTTTGTTTTCGCTGGCGGCGGCGACGGCCGTATCGTAAGTACCTCGGGGCAAGAAATGCTAGGCGTGGGTACCCGACACTGGTGGAGCCATCTGCCAGGGAGCCCAGTGGTCCGTAAGTACCTGAGGTACCTTGGTCCAGGTAGCTGAGTAGGTAGGTACCTGAGGAACCTCCGCCTTAGCGCGAGCCTTTAGCACAACACAGCTGGCAAGGGAGCGTCGGGTGGTAAGGTAACCTAGGTAGGTACGTACTAATGAGGTATCCACTTCTTCTTTTTGCCTCACCTTCGCCTTCGCCTTCGCCTCATCAGGGCGGGCATTCGCGGCAGGTAGGTAGGTACCTAGCATAAGGAAGGAATCGCCCACCTCATCACCACCGTGCAGCACAAATGAAGAGATGAGACAGGGATGACTGATGACTAGGGTGGGAAACGGCACACCGTACATCGAATCAGATGTCTTTTACCTTGGACTACGGATATATCATCCATAGGGTGCCAGTCCCCTATTGAGAAAATACCCGCCGTCAGAGCCTTACGATAACCCGTACAAGGCACACTATCGCCCGAGCCGTGGTGGGAGCTGCGCTGGCTGGTCGTCGACATACTTATTGACGCGTACGGATACTCACTCAGGTACCTATCTTACCATAGTACCCCCGTTGATGCCCACATACTGTGGTGGTACATAAACTTCTGCAGTGTAGGTAAGCAAAGGAGACAACCTACTTCAGTATGGCGAGGCAGGAGAGCTTGGGTCTCCAGAGCTTGAGGTCCTGGAGGGGTCAAGAGAGGCAAATCATTACCTACATAGAGGCGGAAGGGAGAAGGCACGAAAGCAGCAAACACCACGCACAGGCATACCTTACGGTACTCGGAGCGGATGCCTAGGTATGGAGGTGGAGGCACGCCAGGTCGTGACTAACAAGTGACGCGTTGCTCTTGCGACGACATAGATAATGAGTGACACGGGGTGGGCTGTGGACAGTTGAAGCGGAACGGCGTCTGGCGTCTGGCGTCTGGCATCTGGCATCTCGCATCTCGCATTTCGTCTCCAGTATCCGTACTGCCCAAGACCCTGAAGACGTAGAATGGAACAAATGGAAGGGAGCGTAGAAGAGCTAGGAGGCGGGAGACGACGGACGGAAGACGGCGGGTGACACAGAACGGAAGACCTTATGCATAGGTACAGATAGGAGAGCCTGGGGAGGAAGGAACACAACGCTTGAATGCACGATGGAATGTGAGCCGGAAGAAGTGGAGTCACTTCTTTTCGGAAGACACTGCCTACCTAGGTACATAGGTATCTAGGTCTTCGTACCCAGCATTCCAGGTTCACATTGCCAGCCCAAAAGGCGCAAGTGTGTGTGTGTGTGGGTGTGGGTGTGGGTCCCATACCATGCGGCGCTAGAAGGCTTCGAGAGAGGGGCCCAGACACCCAATAGCAGCATTGCGTCTGCTGATTTCGCCCAATCAGGGAAGGCACCTGTAGGAGGCGGAGACGGGAAATGGAACTCATGGAACATTTCGAAGAAGGGGTGGAGGCGAACAGAGACAGGGATACTCCTGAAAGAGCAAGGACTTCCCGGCCCCCCTGCTCTGGTCTGGCGATTGATTTTATTCCCTGCCTTAATAGCCCCCTCCCCTTTTTCCTTCCTTTTTGCTTTCTTGTCGTCTTTATTTTTCGCCCGCTTTTCTCATTCCCTCAGTCGCGCCTGCGCCTGCGCCTGGGATCTAAAGTCTGGACCATGTGAAAAATGTGTTTTTCTGTCCCTCTCCTGTAGCGCTAGTTATAGGCTGTTGTTTTGCCCCGTTATAAACGGAAACCACAGAGCATCCTCCTAAACTGGGCCCTCAGCCGCCCGGCCCGGTCTACATAGTCGTTAAAGTGGTCTTGCAGACAGTCACGACAAGCAAAGCAGCCGCAGTGCCCTTTATCATAATGGATCCCAACCTGGACCATGGACCGTGGACTGTAGGCGTGACAGTCGTGGCCGTCGTGGCCGTCGTGGTGCCGGGCTGCCGCTTCCCCCTCCCCTCAGGTCCGTACCGGTACACTGTACTTCGTAAAGGGCACCTAAGCACACCTCATCCAATCAGGGATTACGCGCTTGTTGGTCACCCACAAATTCCCCCCTTCTCCGTCCCTTCTCCGTCCCATCTCCGTCCCCGGGCATCTCCCACGGTGCCGTCTCCATCTCCATCTCCATCTCATCCGCCACCGATTCCTCGTCCAAGTCCGCCGTCGATGGTCTCGGGCGCAGACGTGGGCTTGGACCTACCTGGGCGTGACACATTGACGGGCGCCCTTCACAACGCGTGCCGATGGATGGATGGCGTAATTTGATGTCACGGAATTCAAGGCTACCTCATCCTTATCACGAACAGACGGTATCGAGACGGTAAACATCATTCAGTCTGGTCGCCAGCTTCATCTCATAATTTTTGTCATTATTGTTCTTCGTCGCCCGTATGCTTCCTCGGCTCTCAGTCAGCCAAAGCAAGCAAGCCGTGATGGCGATGAATCAATCATCATCAATCAAGGCGCAGCAAGCAATGCGCTTCGCGGCTTCACAAAAGAACAGGCAGGGGAAAAGAAGAAACCCCCGCCAATTACTCAGGGCATCCCTTGCTGGCCTGGCCACCTTGACAATAACTTGCAGTCTCGTAACGGTCTCGCCAGCATCCGTATTGCGTACGCGTGAGACTAGTAGTATTCATACCTCCCACTACCTTACTACAGTAAGTAGTCTTCACACGTCGCACCACCGTATCCACTGCGTCTCTTTAGCCCCTCTTGTTCAGTAGGTGCGGCCGCTGGACGAGCGGGTTGCCCGTTGCCCGTTCCATTGCCCGTTGCCTATGGCCCATTCGGAACTGACTGGTGCTCTCTTCTTTGGCATGTTTGATGCTTGACCGGCATTTCGTGAGAATCTCATCACCGATGCGGGCCTACCTTACCGCGCCAACTGTGGATCGTCAATCGGTTCAGGCCAGCAATTCCTGGTGTTGTCTCATTTTCATGTCCATGTAATAACGCACACAGAGCTGGAGGCGTAAGGATACAAATATCCGTACCACCATCATGATATCCTCCGTGCCGCAGCAACTGTATGATACCAATACAGACCACATGCTCCTCCCCCACGTTTCGACATGATTTTCCCAGCCAGTTTGAACACTCCACGTTCTCCTCTGCATCCCCAGCTCCGGATCCTCGTCAGAGTTCCTCTGGAGATGCTACCCCAGATCTAGATACCCTAAACATTTCGGCCCAAGGAATTGTTGCTATGCAGTCGCGCCGGC